CAGCCTGTAGTGTGGTTTTCCACTTTGATTTTGAGGGTGACTCCAAATCCAGACCTCCATGGGTTGATACATTTGATTTCCATTGATAATTTTTGTGTGATTTTGTTGTCAGCACATTCAACTATGTAAAGAAAAAAGTATTTAATAAGATTATTTCATTCATTCAGATCTAGGATATGTTATTTTAGTGTTCCCTTTATTTTTTTGAGCAGTGTATTTCACTGTGACCTGCTCCTACCTGTCAGGCTGTTGCTGAGTGAGTGGAGGGGAGGGCCGGGAGGGTGCGAGTGTGTTGAGAGAGCACACATCCACAGATAGAACAATTAGAACATCTTTGCTACAGCCATCTGCTGAGTCACGTGAGTGAGAGCAGAGGGAGCATCATGATAACCTTTTACCAGTTGTAGGTAGGCTATTTAGGTTCTCATTATGGAGACACCTATTTCCAACCCTTTTTTCCATAAAACATAATACGTTAGAACTGATGCACATCAAGAAATAATGGAGACAAAGCACTGGAAAAAGACTGGGCGCACTAGAGCACATTACATACATTCGCTCTGAGGTGGTTTAAACTGTATTCTAATGTTGATTGCTTGAAGAAAACGGTACCAAGCGAAGTGTTTTATGCAGGATCAGTTTCTGGGTCTCGGGGGCTGCCCGAGTGGAAATTTGAAATGGAAGTTATGGATCTCCCTCGCGTGGTTCTTTTTATGGGGGGAAAAGTCCTCAATGAAACTGACATTAAATGTGGAGAATGACACATTTGCCTCTGTTGGCAATCAAGTAGCCTATTAATGTAAATGCCATTGTAGGCTACCATTTGATACAATAAATATGTTGAAATGATATCACTGGAGTCATTGCAAATCAATGTGCCACTTGTGTAGGCTACCTGGAGCTGGCAAAGCAATTCAATAAATAGCCTATAACTTCAGTTTATTGTTGTTGTAGCCTTATGTAGTTATTATGCAATTATTATTAATGGACATGTTTAGTTAATTAAATTGGAAGTTATCAAAGCTCCATCTCAATTGCTGATCAGTTGTTAGAACGCATTAGATTGACGGTAAGTCAGATTAAGCTACAGGTAAACAAAATAATCTACAAAATAAACACTGGCTGTTGTTGACAAGCATATTCAGTTAATATACATATTATTAATATTTAATTCTGTACCTGAAATTACGACCCCATCCTCAGTAGCCTATTCCAGCAGGCTATTGGGAAACAAGCACTTACCTCGAAATCACCTCGCTATTCATGTTCAATAAATGTGTCTTAATTTGAATTAAGCAAGCTGCTAAATCGTTCAGTTGACATCTTGTCTAGGCTACTGTAGACTATATGAAATGAGCTGTAGGCCTATAAGGGGCTATAGGCTACCTGCCTTTATCTATTCAAACCATGGCAAATTTGAATTACAATCATAAACCCAGATTTTAGTCTAGCCTGTACTTATTGAAATGACAAGTCAATCTCGCAAATAGGCCATTTATAACAGTTTGTAGTCTTAACACCTGGCACATAATAACAGCACAATTGCCAGAAAATAGTCTAACATTAGTTTTTTCATGTTCGTCTAAGTGTTGCTTGCTCAGAGATTTCTATATCCTCTGTCCAACTTTAATGACTCAAACTCTCCTGTCGGATTTATCTATAGTTATGCACATGCGCAAAGGGGATTTATTTACAATTATAAACCTGGTTCGAGTCCTGAATGCTGATTGGCTGAAAGCCATGGTATATCAGACCATATACCACTGGTATGACAAAAAAAATACTTTTTACTCTTCTAATTACGTTGGTAACCCGTTTATAATAGCAATAAGGCACCCCGGGGGTCTGTGGTCTATGGCCAATATACCACGGCTAACGGCTTTATCCAGGAACTCTGTGTTGCCCTTAGCCGTGGTATATTGGCCATATACCATACCCCCCTGTGCCTTATTGCTTAATCATAGCAGTCAATCGAGTTAAATCGACATCCATTGATGGAAAATTATCTGGCGAGTTTAATAAGGGCGAATGATCTTTTCTCTTGCGACATATTCAAATTCCTTTATTACGTCATAGCTCGCAATAATTATTATTTTGAGGAAAACCACATTTTGCTTCTAAAGTCATTACAAGTAAATACGATATTACGGAAAAATTGTTTATTGTATAAATATGGCCAAAAAAATTGGATTAGTTTTGAGTGGTCATTGGCCTACAAATGTTTGCTAGACCTGGCAACCCTGATTGACATGGCTACAGTGGGTTAGCCAATATATTGCTAGTATGTTTACTATTGAAGGTTTGCTTTTGTAAATAACTTCCCTAAAATAAATAAGCTCAGCGAGTAGATTGATGGGCAATTCATTTTGCTCTGTGAGAATGTAGGGGTTCATGAGAAAAGCATCTCTCTCTCATGTGGCTTGTAATGTGAAGCAACGTCAAGTTCGCAAATAAATGTGCCTTCATAAAGACACACCATTAGTAGTTATTTTACTCACGTACAGACAAGTTTGATTACAAGACAATTTTCACTCTCCAAATACATATGGAGGGGAGTGTATATAGGGAATAGGGTGCTATTTGGAACGCAGCCATACAAAAATGCATGTTTCTACCACCACACAGAGTGAGTAACAAAACACAGACTGATGTTTAGAGACAGAAAAGGTGAATGTTTTGCAACTTGAGTGAGAACTTTGAAAGGGATGCTGCACTTGCATAAATCTAGTCCCTTGCAAGCGTGTTGCCATATATAACCTAGGGCTGTTACGGTGACCGTATTACCGCCACACCGGCGGTCACGAGTCATGACGGCAGTCAAATTCCACGTGACCGTTTAGTCACGGTAATTAGGCTTCTCCAAGCTCTGATGATGCTGCTGGTCATTAGTAGCCTACCAAACTTGCTAACTGCCTGGTACTCAGCACTATTGTCCCTTGAATCAAATCAAATGTTATTGGTCACATACACATATTTAGCAGATGTTATTGCGGGTGTAGCGAAATGCTTGTGCTCCTAGCTCCAACAGTGCAGTAGTATTACATAAATGCAAATGCTACCTGGCTGGTATGAAATGAACCACTGGAAAAGCGTCCTCCATTCGCTATTTAAGTACATAGATGACATGTATTTTTCCCCGCTGCCCCTGTTTCGATACAGGTGCATGATAATGGTCCATTCTAAATCAAAACAAATCTCACACATATATTATTTAGTATATGTAAAGACAAGATTAAATCAAGAGTAGTCTGATGGGTGACAATATTTAGCCTATCACTTGTGAATTATATATTATCACTTGTGAATGATGCCCAGCATTTTTGCGACTTTTACGAATCATAGTCGCACACCTCATGTAGCCTATATGTTTTGATAAGGTTTGTATCACAACTAAAGTGGCCAAATAACTTATTAGAATTAAGCACATTAATCCGCTTTACAAGGGGTGTAGAGCCTAACTGGCATACATAAGCAGCGAGTGAGTTTCAAATTTGGTGAAGATAATTTTCACCATAAAAATGCACCTTTATAATAAAAGCATTACATGCATAATTGCATTTGCGGTCACTTTTGATAATGGTGTTTTCCTGCTAATGGAACATTTGCGCTTATAGCCTACTACCATGTGTAAATGTAAATGTAAATGTGCGCATTGCTGCGCTTATAATGTGAAGAAATAGCCTAATAGTTTATCAACATTTTAAGCTAAACGTTCTGATCTGTTGCGTCAGCCACATTGCGTAAAAAAAGTTTTTTGATGCTAGTGGTTGTATTAATTTGGGATCTATTGCATCCTACAACTGTCCCAGACTATGGTTGGAATATTTATTTCTCGCACAGAATAGGTTGACTTTTGTACTATGGGGGATAGTAGCTTGACATAGGTTAGTGGTTTTCCTGTTCGTTAGGCCTTCTGATCTTGTTGGCTGACGAAAAGTTAATGTGGACAGTTCTTCCAATATCTTCAATATGCACCTCGGAATTGAATAAGGACGCGCGCAGTTGCATCCCCGATGTGTCTGTCTTCACTTGTAGCCTGTGAGAAAGACCCGATCACGTGATGGAGAGCCATGTGAGTGAGAGGTGCTTAGGAGCGCGCAGCATTCAGGGATAAGGGCACAACGGCCACTGGCTCGCAAAAGGCATGGATTTTTTTAGGGTGCATTACGGCCACACAAAGGGGATGCTGCCGTGAAATTCTAGGCATTATCAAGTGCTTGTCAAATTGTGAATGAGTGACTGATGTAGTACAGCCTGTACAAAAAACAAAGCAGAGGCTCATGCATTTCAAGCAACTTTTTTCAAATCATCATTAGAGTCTCATCATGCAGCCTTACAATGTATTAAAAATCTAAACATATAGCCCAACGTTTGTAGAACTAAAGTTACATTAATAACTCTAAATGAATCACATAGGAATACTTATTTCTTTGTTAAACGCTCAACGCAGAATAGCCGCATGTGCGCACTCCCTAAAATCGTTTGGAGAAAATATCCTTTCTATTTTATTCAGCTTTGTTCAATTGTATTCTTCATACTATAAATTAATGCCACGGAATTCTAAGCAAATATTGTCTGCTAAATGAACTAGTGTAGCCCACAGCCATATGGCATAGCCAGATCAGGGCCTAACATAAGGAAAACTCAGAGTATGCTATTCTGTTCTTCTGAAGTAGACTACATTTTCTTCATATCATGTTTCTTTAGACCTGTCTAAAATAAATAATGGATTTATTGTGAAGGTGTAGGCTATATTACATGGATTTATTATACTTTTTTAAATGTAGATGTTCCAAAGGTCTGCAACAGTGGCTTGTAGGCTATGTGTGGAAGCCAGGAGATGCTAAATGTGTTTGTTAATTAATGATCAATTACCTGCTTGACAATCACCGGCTGATGAAATTTAGTGACCGCCACAGCCCTAATATAACCCAATTCAAAAAAAGACATTCCTTTGCAAAGTTTCACTTGAATGGAGTGTTAATAAACAGTTTTTTTATTTAAAAAATGTTCTCACCCATTTCCACCAGCTCAGAGTCGGTCATAGAGTCCCTGAGGGTGTTTCCGGCGTGGTCAGAGTGGGAGAGGGATGCTGCTAGGGGTACAGCAAGGGGTTCAGAGTGCTGGGAGGGGCTGCCGGGCCACTGCAGGTTGTCAGCCAGCTTGGCCCTCTCCTCCCGGGCCGTGGGGTCATCCCACACGATCTGCTCACTCTGAGACGGCTCTGTGTTCAGGTCCATGGCTGCCTGACGAGACATCCTGAGTAACACCAGAGGAGGGAGATTGGAGTTAAGCCCTATTCACACTCTGAAGATACAATGTACATGGCCTTATTTACATGGCAATGAGATTTACATTGTAAACATCCAACAAACTTACAACACAAATTCAACTCAAGTCTCAAGTAAAATCTGAACATTTGTAGTGTGGAGGAATTTCAAAACCAAACAATGGGATGTTTCCCTGGATACAGATCTGGTCATTGGCAGAGGGAGACTGAATAGTGAAGGTTATTTAGATATTTCCCAGCCCCCTGGTCTGTCTGCGTCTTCTACCTCAGTGCCTCCAGGGTACGTCGGCCGGTTGCGTTGCGGCCCATGCGGGCCTGCCTGTCGGGGGTGTGGGGTTGAGAGTCGGAACCCCCGGAGCACAGGCGGGTGAGGCGGGCCGAGGAGCGCCGGCCAGTAGCCATCTTGGTGGCTGACATGATCTCCTGCAATTGCCTCTGGAGGTTCTTCCTCATCTCCAGGGTTTCAGACAGGTCTGGGAGACAGAGACGGTCAGAGGATGAGAGGAATGAAATAATGTGGTATGTGTGTGTGTGTTTTGGGGACCTGCACCCATGGGATATTCAGTTGACTCCTGATAAGTGCAAATGTACCTTTTTAAAAATCGACCAACAGCCTCAAATTCTGTATGAACCAGGAGGGTCCATATTTACGATCTCTTGCTTAGACCACAGGTTTAAACCCTTTAGAGCAATTATGCTAGCTGTTAGCTTTTCCCATTGGGAAAGACGTCACAATTAGCCGCCTTGCTACCACGAGTCACTTATATTTATGGGAACAAATAACAAATCAACCCATGGGTCGAATGTAATCGAACACTTTTTTTCATGAAAGCGTCCTTAAAGGACAAGATTTTACCAAATCTAAATGTTTTATGTAAATGGCATGTTATAGAAATGTCCAGACACTTTAATAATATAATAATAATATGCCATTTAGCAGACGCTTTTATCCAAAGCGACTTACAGTCATGTGTGCATACATTTTTAGGTATGGGTGGTCCCGGGGATTGAACCCACTACCCTGGCGTTACAAGCACCATGCTCTATCAATTGAGCTACAGAGGACCACTTTAATGATTTCACTTGGTTTTGAGAAACTTACCCCACCAGCAATAGACTTCCTCATTGCTCGTTCTGCAGTATGGGGACCACGGATAAACATGACCAAATGCAGAAAACAACAACAAATATGTTATTTTAGAAATGGCAAAGCATAAATTTCCATGTGTGAGCATGCGCATGCTTTCTCCTATCACCACAATGGGAACGAGAAAGCACGAGCATGCACGCACACAGAAAAGTATCGCTTGAGTCCAACAAAATGGAATATAACCTTGCGGATAAAGTTCGGAATTACACAATTTCATGTGTACAACATCTAAAGACCTGCATCACTATACAGAGAGCTTTGTCGTTTCTAAAAGGACATATTTTGACATATTGCCAACATGCCTAGCTAAGTTCTAAAATAGGATATTAGTGTTAGGCTTTCACAATGCAATTCAGGGATAATTTTGGTCCGCATAGAAAGGAGTCACGAGTGCATTCAGGTGCGTGTGCTGCTGCAAATTGTCTTCATAAAAGACAAACATAGGCTCATTCTGTTCAGAACAACCCAGGGTATGACCACATGTCATCTTCTAACTGGACATCAAACATGAGTTTTATGATATGGAAATGTGAAGTGCACATTTGGACTCACGGGTGTTTGGCTTGCTTGTATGACATCAAAGAGGTATTTACTATAATCCTCAATGTCTCATTTTTCAAAATACATAGAGTCATCTTAATGTACAGCATTTCCCTCACTCAGACAACACATTTTTTCAAAAGTTGCCCAATTAACAGGAGGGATGGGGGCAACTTCTTGTCGCGCGAGGTGCTCAGAGCCAGAGCTCTGACGTCATGTATAGCATGTTGCTGTACAGCCACTGCATTCCAATTTAGCCGTTTATCAGTGCCCAAATATGCCAAATTCAACCCATATACAGGTATGAGTGTAAAGGGTTAATAATCATATATACAGGCACCTCCTAAAATAATGGAAACACTTGAGTTAATGAGGGATACAAAGTATATTGAAAGCAGGTGCTTCCACACAGGTGTGGTTCCTGAGTTAATTAAGCAATTAACATCCATTTTGCTTAGGATCCTGTATAAACATGCTGGGCAGGCCATTATTTTGGCTACCATGGCTATGCCCCCATAGGATGACAATGCCCCCATCCACAGGGCACGAGTGGTCACTGGTTTGATGAGCATGAAAACGATGTAATCCACATGGCATGGCCGTCTCAGTCACCAGATCTCAACCCAATCGAACACTTCTGGGAGATTCTGGACCGGGGCCTGATGCAGCGTTTTCCACCACCATCAGCACAACACCAAATTATGGAATTTCTCGTGGATTTTGCAACCCTCCAATAGAGTTCCAGACACTGGTGCTCTATGCCAAAGTGCATTGAAGCTGTTCTGGCTCGTGGTGGCCCCAACGCCCTATTAAGACACCATGATGGTGTTTCCTTTATTTTGGCAGTTACCGTATATATTATATTACATAGACGTGCACATTTAAAATGTACAACATTTTATATGCATTATTATAATGTCCTACTTCGACTCGAACCCACACTTACCACCTCAATGGAGGACGCCGCCTGGCAGTGATAGCAGTGGAGGATAAATGACTGCTATTTGATAAGACCATGACCTTCATATTTATATATTTTTTTTATACGATAAACGAATAGAAACATATAGGGCTGTCAAAGTTGTTTAGATGGTTTATGGCGTAAATGTTTTTGACGCCATTAAAACATTTTCTTAGTTTGACCCCCTGAACCATCCATAGTTCAAATTCAAGCCCTGGCAGCCGATGCGCTAGTTTGACAACCACTTTACTAGGTACAGTGCCATGCAAAAGTATTCATCCCCCTTGGTGTTTTTCCTATTTTGTTGCATTACAACCTATAATTAAAATGGATTTTTATTTGGATTTCATGTAATGGACATCCACAAAATAGTCCAAATTGGTGAAGTGAAATTAAATAAATAACGGAAAAGTGGTGTGTGCATATGTATTCACCCCCTTTGCTATGAAGCCCCTAAATAAGATCTGGTGCAACATCTGGTGCACCATGAAGACCAAGGAGCTCTCCAAACAGGTAAGGGACAAAGTTATGGAGAAGAACAGAACAGGGTTGGGTTATAACAAAATATCAGAAACTTTGAACATCCCATGGAGCAACCATTAAATCCATTATTTTAAAAAATGGAAAGAATATGGCACCACAACAACCCTGCCAAGAGAGGGCCGCCCACCAAAACTCACGGACCAGGCAAGGAGGGCATTAATCAGAGAGGCAACAAAGAGACCAAAGATAACCCTTAAGGAGCTGCAAAGCTCCACAGCGGAGATTGGAGTATCTGTCATTAGGACCACTTTAAGCTGTACACTCCACAGAGCTGGGCTTTACAGAAGAGTGGGCAGAAAAAAGCCATTGCTTAAAGAAAAAAATAAGCAAACACGTTTGGTGTCCGCCAAAAGGCATGTGGGAGACTCCCCAAACATATGGAAGAAGGTAATCTGGTCAGATGAGACTAAAAGTGAGCTTTTTGGCCATCAAGGAAAACGCTATGTCTGGCGCAAACCCAACACTTCTCATCACCCCGAGAACACCATCCCCACAAAATGTTTTTTATCGGCAGAGACTGGGAAACTGGTCAGAATTGAAGGAATGGCGCTGAATACAGGGAAATTCTTGAGGGAAACCTGTTTCAGTCTTCCAGAGATTTGAGACTGGGACGGAGGTTCACCTTCCAGCAGGACAATGATCCTCAGCATACTGCTAAAGCAACACTCGAGTGGTTTAAGGGGAAACATTTAAATGTCTTGGAATGGCCTAGTCAAAGCCCAGACCTCAATCCAATTGAGAATCTGTGGTATGACTTAAAGATAGCTGTACACCAGCGGAACCCATCCAACTTGAAGGAACTGGAGCAGTTTTGCCTTGAAGAATGGGCAAAAATCCCAGTGGCTAGATGTGCCAAGCTTATAGAGACATACCCCAAAAGACTTGCAGCTGTAATTGCTGCAAAAGGTGGCTCTACAAAGTATTGACTTCGGGGGGGGGGGGGGGGGGTGAATAGTTATGGACGCTCAAGTTCTGTTTTTGTGTCTTATTTCTTGTTTGTTTCACAATATCAAATGTTACAAACCCCCCAAAAAAATCCATTTTAATTCCAGGTTGTAAGGCAACAAAACAGGAAAAATGGAAGTGATGCAGACAATTACATTGATAGAAGTTACAATCTATCTGCAATATTAAGCTGATCTACCCCCAGAAAAAAAGAAAAAAAAAAAGGAAAAATGCCAAGGGGGGTGAATACTTTCGGAAGCCACTGTAGCTACTTGTATGACTGAATGATGGAGAATGCTAGTAAGGGGCTTTTAAATGGCAAATTCAATTTCAAATCACTCCCAGATGGAAAAGTAATTTGCATCTACTGCAAGGCTGAATTTGTTTATCACTTCGTTATCATTTACAAGTGAAACATACTATTGACGCCGGCAATACAAGTAACGTTAGTAGTAGCAATGGAGGACATCTTCAGAAGAGTGCGCGAGCGGGAGGCCTATGGACAAGTCGACGAGCAGCAAGCTAACACAAGCAATAGCCAAGTGGATAGCTACAGGTTGCAGGCCAGTCCACATTGTGGAGGACAAAGTGGAGGACGAAGGCTTGAAGGATATTATTCGGATAGCATCGAACGACTCAAAGTATGAGTTACCCTCGAGTGCCACCGTCATTACAAGAATACACGAGCTGTATGAAAGCGAGAGGGCTACGAAAGCGGAGGAGTTGAAACATGCAACGGCTGTTGCTCTTACGGGAGACCACTGGACTTAGGTCAGTAACCACAACTACCTTGGGGTTAATTCGCACCACTTCGATGAAAACTGGAAAATGCATTCACACGCTCTGGCCGTAATGAAGACAGAAGAGAGGCACTATGCTGAAATGTGCGCCGAACATTTCATGGATCTAGCAAAGCAGTGGAACATTGAAAACAAAGTTACCACAGTTTGCACACTGCACGGATCATGATTGCAGCTGCGAGACGTCTGCCTCCAAAGGTCCATCACAGTGTCCCTACAGAACCGTGGGTTCGACAATGCCCTAGCCAAATGGCCCCCAAAAAATTGACAATTTCAAACACAGCCCAGCAAACGCTGCAGAGCTCGGACAACAGCAAGTTGCAAATGGGCTAAAGAAGGAGTCACTCGCACAAGATGGAATTCCACTCTGGAAATGGTAAAGCCTGTCCATAGAAACCAAAAACCACAGAGATGCTCTGGCCCAACAGAAAACTAACATCACCATGCCAACCACAGCTGAACTGGAGAAACTGGAGGCAGTACTGGAGCCCTGCAGGTAATATTCTTTATCTCACTATTAGTGTTAGAATAAGATATTGTTTGTGTGTGTGTACGTGTGAGAGAGCGAGTGTGTGAGTGAGTGAGTGAGTGAGTGAGTGAGTGAGTGAGTGAGTGAGAGTGTATAACAAGTCTCTCACAATTGACTGAAGTGATTTTGAATTATCTTTCACTGCAGGTACTTGACTGAACTTCTGGGAGGAGAGAAGTACATTTCCTGCTCAGTGGTGTTGCCTGCTTTGTGTAATCTCCTTTGGGTGATGGAGAGCTCCGATGATGAAGCTGACATTCACAACAGACCTGGAGAAACGCAAAGGAAAACACCAACCTCACATGGCTGAAGATCGCCACAGCACTCAATCCAAGGTGTAAGGACCTGAAGTCTAAACCTGTGGTCTAAGCAAGAGTTCCTAAGTATGGACCCGGAATGTTTCAATACAATGCACTTGAGCTAAGGCACAGCAGGGCAGATCAGTGGATCATCAGTGTATAAGAGCCCACCTCTCCTCTCTGTATTGTCCTGGCCCTGCTCTGTGTCAGTCTCTCCTTCACTGATGCGGTGGGATGTAGTGGTGTCTTCAGGCTGAGGGAGAGAGGGTGAGACAGGTTGTTTGACCTATATCATAAACAGCCAATCTTGTACATAATAACCAATTATTTTGTGGAGATGGAGAACAACCAAGTGGGCTAATGCATGCTGAAGCAGTTTTCTTTACATTTTTAAGAAATAATGGTTATGTGTGGCGCTTTATGTGACAGTCCTCCTCAATGCACAATTTTCATTTGAGCAGATCTAGGGATGAACTGTTTCTTCTCAGGACAAACATACCTTGTTCTTTTGGGCCTCAGTGAGGTCTCCAAGTTGTGAGGTACGGGTGGCAGGGGGAGACCTCTGGCTACTGTCAGGAGGCACCTGGCTGAGGTTCAGGCTCATCTTGGGGTTGTAGGTGAATGGATAGAGAGACTCAGACACGTGCCTCTGATCCTCAGCACACTGGAGAGACAACAGCAAAGATTCAGTATCGCACGCACACACACACACACACTTCCACAAACTTCCACAACACTTTTGTGACTGTGTTCAGTCTGATAAGAATGGAGCCTGTCGTTTACTTTATGTAGTACGTGTGTGTGTACTGACACATGTACATGTCCCACAACTACGTATGTGTGTGTGTGTGTATGCGTGTACTGGAAACCATCCGTACCGCATGCAGCCAGTGCTGGGACACCACATGCACCCCTCTCTCCTTCACAGCCCTGTACTCCCGCGTGTTGTCCCCCACACGACCCTGGTAGATGTAGTGAGTCACCGTGTCGTCACACGACCACCTAGAACACATCGTATTGGATTATAGAGGGACATCAATCATTAATGGCAAGTGCTGTTACTGGCATTAGTACCATTGGAGACGTAGCTGAGAGCACGTATTGTTGAGTACCTGAAGTCAGCTCCCAGTGAGGCAGCGATGGCGTTGAGCTCTCCCTGCTTCTTACTAAGTTTCTTACTCACACAGATCACCACGCCAGCAAGGGGAGCAGCTTCCTTCTCCTCCACCTACCAGCACACACACAAAGATACACCACTGCCATATAAGAAACTGTTACTGGGCTTGTGAGTGCATGTACTTGGCCGTGAAGGCTGTAGTGTGTGGATGTGTGTGTATTGTACTGTACTCAAATTTGATTGGTAAACAACATGTGTAGACTAACAGTGAAATGCTTACTTAAGGACCCTTCCCAACAACGCAGAGAGAAAAAAATTATTATAATAACGAGGAATAATTACACAATGAGTAACGATAACTTGGCTATATACACGGGAGACCAGTACCGAATTGATGTGCAGGGGTACATATAGGTAGGGATAAAGTGACTAGGCAACAGGATAGACAATAAACAGTAACCGTACCTCTCTGTGTGTCTCCTTGCTGAGCTGGGGGCTAGCTGTTAGAGCCTGGAGGTCAGGGGTGTGACTGCGGGTGCTGTTGGCCAGGGCCACCTTCAGGTTCCTCCCGATGACCTCTGACAGCGGGGTCGTGGTCTGACCCTGCTGAGTCCTGCCCCCTGGCGTGTCCAACACCGCTAACGCATCCTGGAATGTCATATACAAGTACATACTTTCAAAGTGTGTTATAATTTAATGCTCAACACTATTCCGTCAATGAGTATTTTTGCACTACATTCTCTCGAAATACAGACAAGTGAGTTTAACCTTGACGTTGAAGGTGGGTCTGAAGAGCTGGTCTCGACAAAGGAAGCGGGAGGGGGTGTCCACCTGCAGCGCCGAGGAGTCTTTCTGCCCCCCTGATTTCCTGCCCCCCTCCTGGCCTCTCGGGGTGGTACAGTCCTTTTCTGGCGGGCCTTGTTCCAGCACGGAGCGGAACACTTTACTCTGGAAGCGGCCCATGTCCAGGGGGGTGACGGCCGCCCCCCTCTGGGGGCCCAGCAGGGGGATCTCTGGGGACTTGATACGGGACGGGGGAGGGAGCATGGACGGCTTCTGGGAGCCCCCCACAAAACTCTCGTCTTCTCTCTCTAGGGAACAGATAAGGAAATACACTGATTCAGATTAAATCTATCACATACAATAGAGCATACCCTGTTTGTACAAAACTCATCTTCTCTCAATAAACAAAATGTTAAGGTTTCAACAGCCCAGAAGTATCAAAAACTGTTGCTTAAATGTCATTCAACCACCACTGCTGCGCAAGTTTTTGAAAAAGGAAAATATGGTTTTCAATTCACTTATTTGCTAGGCAGATTGACCTGGAGTAGGAGGCAAGTTCACCAGGTAGCGACCCTCCTCTGCCCTCCGGCCCGTCCTGGCAGAATCCAGCACCCAGAGCAGGGTGACGGCAGGCAGCCCCCACTTCTGGGACGCCTGGTACTTGGTGCCCTCGGGGATCTGCAGCACTAGGTGGGTACTGGCCAGCATGCCCTTCCTCTGGTTGGCCATGCGCACAAAGTAGTCCTGGACACTGTAGGGAGGATGGATAGATGGAGAGGAAAGGAGCGAAGGTAGTAAGATAAGAGAAAGTATGCACAAATATGCCACATACAGAGCCTTCGGAAAGTATTCACACCCCTTGAGCTTTTCCACATTTTCTTACATTATAGCCTTATTCTAAAATTTCTGGGTAACAAATAATTACCTTACTGTTATTGTTTTCAATAAAAATGGTAAAAAATTAACAAAAATAGCTTATTAGCAAAGGGCAATTTCTCAAGCAAAAATGTTGCTAGGAGTGTCTGGGAGTGGTCTGAGTGGGGAGATAAACTGAAAATGTGCTGTTATTGGAAGAGAGGTTTGGAACTCTCTTATTGGGTCTAATAACACATTTCCTGCATGGTGATGTCATCATGGAAGATCAAAACTCCATCCCACCAAAACAGTCTGAAATTGAAAGCGGTCTTTTCAAAACAGCTTTTACACTAAAGGACATTATCATCATTTTCACTATATTATTACAAACCTTATAGTGTGGAAATATACTGTATATGAAACAAAGGGAAATAACGTGTTTCACTGCACCTTTAACAAACTATAGTTGAACATGCCTGATTTTCCCCCTAAATTTGTGGGACTTCTGGAAAGTGGCGTTCCCACAACGAATGTCCTTGACATGTGTCCCCGATACGCGTCCCCATCAAGTCTTTTCTACAAGTATGTATGTGTGTGTGTGTATGTGCAGTAGTTAGATGGTTACCTGGCTCCCAGGTGTTTGGCCAGCTCTACCAGGGACTCCCTCTCCGCCCCGGTGAACTGGCTGACTGAGAGGACACAGTCTCTGAGCGGGGAGCAGCCCTCCATCACTGGCACAGGACTGAAAAGGGGGTGGGAGCCCAGCTCTAACACACACTGCTGCTCCACACACATGGCCTACACAAAAGACACAATAACACATTGATAAATGCTCATACAATATGGCTTAACGAAGACTAGCACACACATTTGATACTTGCACACTTGGCCAAAAGAACCCACTACCACCACACTAAAAACAGACAACAATAACATGAACTAGGAGCCAGAATGTTTGTAAAAATCCCCTCTCTTACCAGCCAGGTATCAGTGACCACCTCGTCCACAGTGGCCTCCACCACACAGCCCAGCAGGGGCACCACAGCGTAGTCGGCCACCGCCCGTGTGTGCTGCACCAGCACCTTCCCACAGTTCTCCGTCACCAGCATGGAGTGCTGGGCCTCCATCTCAGCCTCGAAGCCCACCAGGAGGAAGTGTTTTCCCGCAAACAGGCCCGCCTCGCTGGCCTCCTGCAGGGTGGAGTCAGAACCGGCCCCACCCCCGGCTGCAGTAGTAGACTGGTTTGGGGCTGAGACCCAGGGCTCCAGTGCTGCAGCACTCTGCCTTCTGTGGCTGCTACTGTCAGCTGGAGGAGGCATCTCCACTGGGGTTGGAGGAGAGAAATGGCGTAGAGAGAGGAAGTTACAAGGAGGTCATGGTGGTACATGATACCTGGAGGTACAGGTTCTGTGACTTTCAGTCAAGCTAACAATATGTACTACACGTACTGTATATCAACAAGAGAAATTGTACAGTGATGACACAATATTGGGCAATGTGAATATGTTAATATTCCTCGCAATTGTCTCTAAAACGCCATAACACCACCAATGAGGCTACACATGATTGTTACGTGACTTTTGAGTTGTGGTCTTGCTGCTACACTGAGTATACACAGAGGAGCTCCTCGCTTACCCTCTCTCGGGTCATCATCCATGTACTGAGAGAGCATGTCCTCTTCAGCCTTCCTGTGTCGGGGGGTAGCGGGTTCGGGGGTAGCGGCTGAGGAGGTGGAAGAGGGGTGGGAGGCGGAGGTGCGGGGGGCAAGCATGGCCATGGCTGCAGGGGCAGGAGGCAGACAGGCCGGGTGGTGGTAGTCCCCCTCGGGGAGCAGGCTGCCTCTGGAGAAGCTGTCCAGCAGCCACTGCACCGTCACCACATGAGGCCTGGAGGAGAGATCAGAAAGATGGGATGACACATAGGCACAAGTTACTTTTTATAGGTTATTTTCTCCTTGACTACAGGTTGGCTTGCAAAATTCCGGTCATTTTCCTCAAATTCCCAGGTTTTCTAGAAATCCTGGTGGGAGGATTCCGAATTTCCTAACTACAGGGACTGCCTTTCTGCATCAATATAAGTACTTGAATGAATAACGGTTTAATGACAAAGCCTAATGACAATTTTTTTAACCGACAGATTCTACTTGTAATGAAAAGTGCAATATAAAATAAATATATCATCATTATTAACCTAAGCATAATACACTATGGATATGGCAATGGCTGTAAGTGTCTAATAGCAGCCAGTCCCCTTGTAGGTGTGCTGTTGTGACAGTTCTACGGTCCTGACTGACCTGTGTGTGGCTTTGGCCAGGAAGGTCTTGGTGTCCTGGTCTTGGTCTCCCATGACCACGTGGGTGAGGTCCTCGCTGGGCTGGTTTAAGCGCAGGCCCCCGGCCATGTTGACCAGCCGACTGAGCTTCTCCATCCGCTTCCCTGGCAGACCACACAGGTGCAGCTACAGGAGAAGACGGGAAATTCTACTTGTGTTTTCTAAAACCCAAAGACGCTTCACAATAAGCAACCGTAAGGAATAAGGAACCATAAGGTATATGGCTCTCTATGTCATGTTGTCTGTAAGTGAACTGAACTTCTGATTAGCACATTTCTATAAGAGCAATCATGAGTCTCTCTGGCAACTGAAGGCCTCAGTGAGGAAAGTAGCCTGTAGTTATTCCATAGAGTGGCTCACAGAGTTAAATAGAACATTTTTAAAGATTATTATTCTCTAATAGAGAATTACAGGATCTATATCGAGTGGCTCATATCAAGATGAAGTGTTAAGAGAAACTTCGACTGACCTTGCAGCCGTCCAGCAGGTCTTCTGTGGGGCAGACTGTGATGTCCAGAGCGTCAATGGGATCTGGTGTGTCCAGACGGCTGACCGTGGCATTGGTCATGGCCGTGTCATTCACCGTCATGCTGGTGTTCACAGAGATGTGGCTCAACCCCAGCAGGGACTCTGAAGGAAAACGACAACATCCTCCCATCATTACCATGACCAGGGGCTATTTCTAAGAGTCATGAACTTCTGAATTAACGCTGAAAACGGCAACAATAAACCTTGAGCCTGGCGCCTTACCCGCTTTCTTCTTGCTGGTGACGGTGGGGGTGGAGGTATGGGGTCGGCCGGCCTTCTGAGGTTCTCGCTCCACGGTGTAGCGGCTCTCGTCCTGGCAGAAGCCCTTCTCGATGCTGTCAAACAGCCAGTGCAGAGATACACAGAAGACATTCCACTTCTGTGCACACTCGTACTTTTGACCTGCAGGCACAGACAAAGAGAGGGATAAGTGAAATTGATGGAAACTGTTTGGGAATAAGGGAGACTCAGGAACTCTAAAACCTAAATCTGTTACATGAAAGGGCATCAGAAGGACAGGGCTGAAGCATGTTTTCATGAAAATGTAATAGACTGTCTTGGTGATTTATTTTGCTGAAGCTGGATTTATCGCTTCTTAATTGTTTTGTATTTGTGGTGTGCGCTGACCTGATTCTGAAACTTATTTTACCAGGTAGTTTATTCTCATTTACAGCAACAACCTGGGGAATAGTTTCAGGGCAGAGGAGGGGGGATGAATGAGCCAATTGGAAGCTGGTGATTATTAGGTGGCCATGATGGTATGAGGGACAGATAACTAACTTCGATAACTAAGTTGGACAATAAAGGTATGGTAAGTTTGACCGACCCGAGGGCTTGCTGACGATGAGGTGGGTGCACTCGTTCATCTTGAGCTGTCCTGTGTAGCTGGCACCGTGCTGCTGGCAGAGCCTCTGCACCTCCTTACGCTCCACCGTGGAGAGGCCTGTGACACAGATGGTGCAGCCGAGGAGCACAGGGCACACATAGTCCTCTATGGGCAGTTCAGTGTGTCTGAACAGGCTGAGGGGGAAGGAGAGACAGGGATAGGGGGATGAAGAGAAGGGTTTCATTTATGGTCAGTTAACATGTCTAAAATACAAGTACAGCTACATGGAGCATCTACACTGAGTGTACAAAACATTAGGAACATGCTCTTTCCAGGACATAGACTGACCAGGTGAAAGCTATGATTCCTTATTGATGTCACCTGTTAAATCCACTTCAATCAGTGTAGATGAAGGGGAGGAGACAGGTTAAAGAATGGAACACCTTCCTAATATTGAGCAGCAGCAGCTAGATCGTAACAAAACTAGCGTTATCACTTGTTTGTACCTTATGTTCCCATCATGATCTCACACACCTGCTAAACTGCCACGTAGACAAAGGTTATAAAAGCGGAGACCCAACTCGTTGGGCTCTTAACTCTGCAACTTTTGAGTGATTGTTAACCCCTCCACAATTGCAATTCTTATAATAAAAGGTTGTTGTTTGAAGAATCTACAGTCTCTCTTCCTTTCTGGTTAGAAATGGGAAACTGTTGAGCGTGAAAAAAAAACTACTGGAACCTACTACCATACCCTTTTCAAAGGCACTTCAATATTTTGTCTTGCCCATTTCCTCTCTGAACGGCACAAATACACAATCCATGTCTCAATTGTCTCAAGGCTTAGAAATCCTTCTTTAACCTGTCTCCTCCCCTTCATCTACACTGATTGAAGTGGATTTAACATCCATAAGGGATCATGGCTTTCACCTGGATTCATTGTTAAATTCATGTTCTAAGTATCTCTCACTCTTATTAGTGTGCCTGTGCAGAAGTTTCCCTCTCTGTTGAACCGGGTCGGAGTGTAACGGCAACTATGTACCGTGGCGATTCGGTGAAGTAAACGTTGTTATACTGGAACCTAGTCGTTGTGTCATTTGGAGTTAACATTGGTAGCAGAGGATGGGCTAATAACTACAATGTGCCGCCTCGCGTCGACGAGGTTGTATGAAAGTTGGAAAAATGAACATGGAATCTGGACACAAGTTACTAATCTGGACGAGAAAACGCAAGCACTTGCGGTGTTATTGTCGCTCGAGGGGAGGGCGAGAGATACAGCAAAGGAAATATCCGCCAAGGATTTGAACAGGGATGACAGTATGGGAACTTTGATCAGAGCACTGGATTCTGTGTTTGTTAAAGAAGAGAAAGGCCGTGCCTACAAGGCATGTTCAAACTTTGACAGTGTTACTAGAGACATTTTGGTTGCAATGACGGACTACATAGTTGATTTTGAACAGAGGTACAATAGGATGCGCAAGTACGACAAGGTTCTCCCGGATGCAGTGTTAGCTTTCAAGTTGTTAGGGTGAATTGTAGGGTGAAACAGTTGGCTTAGACTGCTTGTACTGTGCTGACTTTTGCGTCAATGAAGTGACGCGGTTTACTACACCGAGCAGCCGAGAAAACGCGCCAACAAGTCACGTTCTCAAGACAACCAGACGAGGGTGCCATTGCCTGGCACAAATCCACTGGACAGGTATGGAAGGAGATCAAAATGTGCTATTTTTCCAAAGCACTTACCATTGGGTTAAAGACTATCATAATTAAAACAAACAAGTTAAACTAACAGAGGAACATGTAAGCACAGAGATAGAGCAGTGTAACATTACACTGTTTTCAAATGAATCTGCTTCTAAGATCTTTATAGTTGAATCCTTAGGATCTGTTGTGATTGATACTGCGTGTACACGCACAGTGTGTTGTGCAAAATGTCTTGATAGCTATGCCAGTGTACTAAATATGAAAGAAGTACAACATTTGATTGACACGCCAAGCAACAGAGCGTTCAAATTTGGAGATGGGAGAGTCGTCCACTCTACCAAGAGAGTCATAATACCAGCAAAACTTGGTCAGACTAAGTGTCACATTGAAACAGAGGTGGTCCCTGTAGATATCCTCTTACTATTAAGCAAGGCTTCCCTCAAGAAGGCAGAGGCTGTACTAGACATTGAAAATGACAAGGCAGTGATTAAACAACCAGTGACCCTTGAACTTACTACCTCAGACTTCTATTGTGTAAACATTTTAGACAAAGACATCACACAGAGTCCATGTGAAAATGAGATTCTGACAGACACAGAGCACATGGAGATTCTGACAGTCACAGACAACATGACCACAGAGGAAAAACACAAAGTATTGTTTAAACTTCAAACAATTTGGACATTCTACAGTTGACAGACTTCAGAAATTACTCAGCAGTTCTGGGAATAATGATGAGAGTATTTACATTCTACGGCAGATAGTGAGCAGTTGTGAGACATGCCAGAAATACAGCAAAACTAAGCCCAGCTGTTGGTTTTCCACTGGCTTCCAAGTACTATGAAACAGTGGCTGTAGATCTACATGAGCTAGGACCAAGTGTGTGGTACCTTCACATAATCGACCACTTCACACGCTTCAGTGCTGGAAGCATTGTGAATACAAAGAAACCCAGTGACATTGTCAAGCACATCATTCATTTCTTGATAAGTCTGCATGGCCCGCCCCAGAAATTGTACAGTGACAATGGAGGAGAATTCAATAATAATTAAATAAGAGAAATTCAACATGGAAGTAAAGAACTGCTGCATCCAATCCATGGAGCAATGGGCTTCTGGAGATACAATCAAAACACTCACAGAGATCATGCTGAAAGTCAAGCAAGACAATGGATGTGACTGGAAAACAGCCCTAGATTGGGCGCTGATGGCAAAGAACTCAATGCACAATGTTCATGGCTACAGCCCATACCAGCTAATGTTCGGGCAGAACCCTTATCTTCCCTCTGTACTAGTTGACAAGCCACCAGCACTAAAAGGGACCAGTGTGAGCGCATGGGTGGGACAGCACCTTTCAGCACTACAAGCAGCGAGGAAAGCGTTCACTGAAGCAGAGTGTTCAGAGAGAATTCGCAGGACTCTGCGTAAACAGCTTCGACCCACAGATGAAAAGCACGAGCCTGGAAACAAAGTGTACTACAAAACGAGTTGACTGTCAAGAGTAGAAAGGACCGGGAGTCGTCATTGGCCATGATGGTGTGGTGATATGTGTGAGGCACGGAGGCACCATTGTCCGGGTGCATCACACAAGATTGTGGAAAGTAAATGATAAAAAAGTTGGGAGTGGCTGTTGCTGAGAATCAGCCTCCTAGACTCACTCAGATTGCTGCTGACAGTGATCTGCCAGAAAAAAATTTAACTTCATTCCATGGACATCAAATCTGCATTTCTGCAGGGAACAGAGCTGTCATGGGACATTCACATCCAACCTCTGCCTGAAGCTCCTCAAGGAACACTGTGGAAACTAAGAAAGTGTGTGTAAGGCCTCGCAGATGCATCACTCTACTGGTACAACAAAGTCAAGGCAACAATGCTGAATACAGGTGGCAAAATATCAAAATGCCGTCTTCTATTGGCTTGATCAAGACTGGAGTACTTGCCTGTCATGTTGATGACTTCATCTTTCTGGCAACTCTGTTCTCAGAGCTTACCACTGGTGAGGCAAATCGGCACATTGTACCTGCAGTGTGTGTCACTGACGACTACTCCCTAGTTGATGCTGTCAAGTCACCCAAGACTGTCACAGAGAAAATACTTCGTCTTGAGGTTAGCAGCATCAAGGAACATATTCAGGCTCAGAGAATCCAGCGGATTCTGTGGTCGGCCACAAAGGAACAGCAAGCTGACTGTCTTGACTAAAAAAGGAGCATCCGCACTTGTGCTCCTAAAGGCACTCAGTAATGGAAAGTAAAAAAAATTATGTCACGTGACATTGTCCATGACCCATTTGTAATGGGGAATAGTACTTGGACATGTAATTATTTGTTGATGTTTTATTTGTCTTGAAAGAAAAGTGGCAGGTTGTTTAAGTTCATGTTTAAAGTGTCCCTATACTTCTGTTATTACAGGGCTCTGTTGGACCGGTCCTGAGTGTAATTGCAACTATGTATCGTGGAGATACAGTGAAGTAAACATTGTTAACTGGAACCTAGTCGTTGTTTCATTTGGAGTTAACATTCACCTGGTCAGTCTATGTCCTCTGTAGCTCAATTGGTAGAGCATGGCGCTTGTAATTCCAGGGTAGTGGGTTCGATCCCTGGGACCACCCATACGTAAAAATGTATGCACACATGACTAAGTCGCTTTGGATAAAAGCGTCTGCTAAATGGCATATTATATGTCTATGTCATGCTCTTAATGTTTTGTATACTCAGTTGATTACAGAAATAGCTTTTCATTAAGTGTCTGGCAAAATGGGAAAGGCATAAAAAGCCCTATTACCTGTCCTGTGATTTCTCCCAGCAGGTTGTGACCCAGGTGGGCAGTAAGATGGGCTTCCCCAGGCTAGCAGCCACCAGGTACTTCTTGCTGCCAACCTCCCCGGCGACCAGGTGAGTGACTGACATGTTGAGGTCCCGGTAGACCCTCCCTCCCATCAGCTGCACCAGATCCATCACATTAGCCTGAAGGTAGACAGACAGTCAGTCACTAACAGGCCTGCTACACTGGACACTTAACTTTTGCCGGGCGTGAGAAGCTCCCAATCATTTCAATGTAACCTGGGCTTAAGCAGCACGACTCAGCGAGAGACTCACACCGCTCAGTGTAAAATTACACTCTGGTTCTATTGTCAAGAGTTCCCCTGTAAGGCTGTTGATGTGGATCATTGGCGTGAAAAACACTTGGCGTCATTGTTGCTGAGTCAAGCAAAGTAGAGCGGACAGCAATTGACTTACCCTAGCCACCTTGTCCAGACTGGTGCAGGAGATGGTGACATCAGCCATGGCCATGTTGTAGACGGGCTCCTCTGCTTTGGGCACACAGCGCTGCTGCTGCAGGCAGAAGAGCACCACTAGTGGACTCACCACTCGACAGCCCAGCTACACAAAGAGACAACCCAGTTTCCAGTACACTTCATTGCTGAATGCTGACAGTATTGTTAACATGTTGTGACTTATGAGGATTGTGTAGAAGCCAGGTTTGGGAATGTGTGCATCTTGGGACGGACCTTTTTACAGTGGTGGAAGGCTGGGGTGGCGAAGCTACTGAAGACGAACAAAGACTTGTCATTGTGGTCCAGCTGTAATGCCTCCTCCTCATCGATGGTCTTCAAGTACTTCTCAGACTGGAGCTCCATGATGGCCTGTTTCATAGTGAAGAGAGAGATAATGCATTTCAATAAGGGATGGATCGAAATGTACATAATGGGTACCTGGAGGAAAATGGGGGAGGGTCATGCTTTTTCAATTCCAGTCATGTTTTAAAAAAAAATCTAGTCCAGGGTAGGGTTATGTCATTTGTAATTGATGACATTTCAATATTTCTCAGTGTTTTAGAATTAGTTGCTTATTAAGCTATATCAATGTGTGCCTGAATCTGCCCCTCATCTCCGATTCTCCACTAAGCGCAATATCAAGTTCGCCTATAGGCTATTTAGTGTGGTCTCAATCAAATGATCCATAGTAGGGCTGACCCCAATTATTCCACTTGTCGATTGTTTGGTCGATAGGCTGTTGGTCGACTAAGATTTCTTTAGTGGAGCAGTAGCAAATATATATATTTATTTTGTATGGCACACGAGACACCTGTCTAATTCGCGCCCATCTCAGTGAACTAATCCATTGCGGAGGCCGTAGGGATGGCACAGTCCAAGAAGAAGGGGAGTGTGGCTGCACAATTTGTGCACATTCATTGTTTCATAAATTCATTTTGTGAATTGTTTGCGTTTGATTGTTAGTGTATATCCATTCCCCATTACATATATCACCCGTAGTACATTTACCATTAATTTCTAATCTACAATGCTTGTTTGGTTACGGTGATGTCTGTTAATGCATTCAATATATTATTATTCCAGTCTTTTGCCGTTCTCATTGTCAGAGTGGACACGTTTGCAGAGTGCACAACCTAGGCTACACTTGAGAAACAAGTTTTGGTTTATTTCATTCCATTTACGAGTTGTCAATTTATTCATTGTGTTTTGTTTGGAGTTCTCCTGTCAATGTTGAGTAAGGACGCGCACCTGATTACGCATAGAAGTAGGCCTAGGCTACCTGGCCTGCGCGCAAATGTAGGCTTATAAATGTGCACATTTGGGGATCTGATTGGCTTAATGCACCACCACTAATGAGCTGTGGAGCTTCTCAAAGTAATGTTTTCTTCAACTCAAACAGCAAGCAAACAAAGTCTGTTTTTACATCCATTGAGAATTACAATAGTTCCTCAATGTATTCGAAAAATATTTCCAGCGCTCTCGCTTTCGATAACCACTCAACGTGAAAGGGAAAAATGTCATGCTCTGATCCAGTGGAAACTTTATAAAACATGCCTACCTGATTACTTTTTATCCCTTGCCAAATAGCCAACAGCTCTGCGGGAAACTCAGGGCCCAGAATATTTTATACAATGTTGCAAGGAGCTTCAGGCTGGACCCAAGTTAATAGTTGATACAATGTTTCAAGTTCGTTGCAGACAGGCCATGTGTAGCCAATGTGATTTATAGGATATTTATTATTTAAATCTGGATATTTTCTACCTGCAGGCTGCAATGATTTTATTTGTTGCTTTATGTAGGCTATTTTTACATAGTTGGCAATGGAAGTTACTTTTTAGGTTTGTATCATTTTCATTTAGATTTGGATAGAATTTTGATTAACCACATGACACTGATTTTGAGATACGAAGACGTGCATATGAAAACCATAACTGGCACGCAGATCGGTAGAAATTGTAAATTGGCATACGAGAAAGGTTGCAGACTCCTCGTGTAGCTTATTACTGGCAACTTCAGGAGAGTAACTGCAGAATCTGCGAAAGCCAGTAGGAGCGGGAGGAGGATGGTTGGGACAGGTTAATTTTTTATTTTCTTCTGGTGTTCATGATCTCTGGCTCCTCCTTGAGTCATTTGTGAGCTTAAAGCATCAGAAAAGCTCAATGCATATATAGTTGATTTTATTAAAACAGACAAGGTGTGTCTATATATGGACAAATTTGAAAATGTCAACCAATCGATTGGTCGAAAGAACAGACGACTTTCGGTCAACCAAATTTTCTTTTTTGGGGGGGGGGGGGGGGGGGGGGGTGTCGGAGAGAGCCCTAATCCATAGCCTATGGGCTACGAAGTGCATGCTCGGAGAAGCACAGAGCAAAGTTATATTTCTAAGATAGCTGCTGGGATGGTGGAAATAAAACTAGGCTGCATTACACACTGCAATGGATATTCCAACCCTGAGCCCTGGCCTGCTCTTGCTGATCAAAAACGTTTTTGTGTGCTGCCTAACCAACGGCTGGCTGTGCTATGTAGGCCTATGGTGACAGTTCAGGAGACTCAAAATGCTTCTTTCGATTTTGGGGTTGTTGATTATGCCTAGTCCCAAAAATGCACAATCTTGCGCGCAGACTAGCCTATGTTCTGTTCAGTATTGAGAAGGAGAGCACGAAGATGAGAAGGAGGACCGGAGGTCAACTTTGATAGCTTGCTACCAAATTAGGCTAAACTACAGACTAAATTAGGCTATAAGCTCTGGGCTCTCCAGAGGGTGGTGCGGTTTGCCCAACGCATCACCAGGGGCACACTGCCTGCCCTCCAGGAAACATACAGCACCCGATGTCACAGGAAGGCCAAAAAGATCATCAAGGACATCAACCCCCCGAGCCACGGCCTGTTCACCCCGCTATCATCCAGAAGGCGAGGTCAGTACAGGTGCATCAAAGCTGGGACCGAGAGACTGAAAAAGCTTCTATCTCAAGGCCATCAGACTGTTAAATAGCCATCACTAGCCAGCTACCACCCGGTTACTCAACCCTGTCTATGTACATAGGGCCGCTGCCCTATGTACATATAACATTTAATCACTGGTCACCTTAAATGGAACACTAGTCACTTTAATAATGTTTACATACTGTTTTACTCATTTCATATGTATATACTGTATTTTAGTCAATGCCACTCAGACATTGCTTGTCCTAATATTTATATATTTCTTAATTCCATTATTTCACTTTTAGATTTGTGTATTGTTGTAAATTGTTAGATACTACTGCACTGTTGGAGCTAGGAACACAAGCATTTCTCTACACCCGCAATAACACCTGCTAAATATGTGCATGTGACCAATAATTAATTTTTTTGATTTATAGGCTGCTATTTCCTGTCAATTCGTCCACCCACCATGCACTCTTTGATTAAGCTATTCACTTTCTGTACAATAGAAGATGTTTAAACCCAGACAGCTTTTAGGGAAATATTTGTGACCTTCTCTTCCTTGGGTTAAGCCATGGAAGAAGAGTAGCCAGCAGTTAAAGCTTAAAATGTTCTGCATCGTTAGGCCTACTCTGTCTGGGGTGGAAAGGTAGGCCTAACTTTTGAAAGAACCATGCTCAGATTCCTAATGATGTCTCAGATGTAATTATTTGCAAACAGGGACAGTTTCATTGCAAACAAGACACACTGATTTGGCATTTGAGAAATATGATAAGATGAACACATAGGCCTCTCTGTCTGTCCATTCTTAGCCTGTAATTTCAGTAATTTGTGTGGAATTAAAATACATTCTGCTAATATGTAAAATGACATAGAATTGCATAAAATGTTTATAAAAAGGTAATTTTTTCTCAGACCTGCAAATACAATGATAGATTCATGCAATGCATTTACTATAAAAGGAGATCTTTCCACCCCTACTCTTGTCCACGGTGGTCTGAGAACCCACAACCTTCTGGCCACCAGCCCTGTGCGCTATCAAAATTCCTGCATTGCCATGTAGCCTAACGCTTACAGGACAAAGAACAGTTTCTAAGGCTATCTTGGAATTAAGAACATTTCCAATAACTATTTTGAAGAATCGAATTTCTTCTTAACTTTTTGCTTAAGGAGAAACATAAGAAATAGCCAAGAAAATGTTCAATAACCTTTTTGAGGAATAGCAACTTTGGTTAACTTTTTCTTAAGTCTATAGTTAAGGAAAAAATGGCAGTTAAGAAGAAATGTATTCTTAAGAAGGTTTTGTGAATCTGGGCCCTGGTCTGTCCATGAAGTGAGGGTAAACCGTAGACATGTTCTCTGCTATCCACTGTATGTTTTAATTATTTTGGGTGTAGGGGAGGGTCACTTGTTTTGTTTTTTCAAGCGTTCAGGGACGGTTTAGGTAAAATACACTGCTCAAAAAAATAAAGGGAACACTTAAACAACACAATGTAACTCCAAGTCAATCACACTTCTGTGAAATCAAACTGTCCACTTAGGAAGCAACACTGATTGACAATAAATTTCACATGCTGTTGTGCAAATGGAATAGACAACAGGTGGAAATTATAGGCAATTAGCAAGACACCCCCAATAAAGAAGTGGTTCTGCAGGTGGTGACCACAGACCACTTCTCAGTTCCTATGCAATCCTGGCTGATGTTTTGGTCACTTTTGAATGCTGGCGGTGCTTTCACTCTAGTGGTAGCATGAGACGGAGTCTACAACCCACACAAGTGGCTCAGGTAGTGCAGCTCATCCAGGATGGCACATCAATGCGAGCTGTGGCAAGAAGGTTTGCTGTGTCTGTCAGCGTAGTGTCCAGAGCATGGAGGCGCTACCAGGAGGCAGGTAGCTTAGTGGTTAAGAGCGTGTGCCAGTAACTGAAGGTCGCTGGTTTCATCCCCGAGCCGACTACGGTGGAAAAATCTGTCGATGTGCCCTTGAGCAAGGCACTTAACCCTAATTGCTCCTGTAAGTCGCTCTGGATAAGAGCGTCTGCTAAATAATGTAAATGTAAACGTAATACATCAGGAGACGTGGAGGAGGCCGTAGGAGGGCAACAACCCAGCAGCAGGACTGCTACCTCTGCCTTGTGCAAGTAGGAGCAGGAGGAGCACTGCCAGAGCCCTGCAAAATGACCTCCAGCAGGCCACAAATGTGCATGTGTCTGCTCAAACGGTCAGAAACAGACTCCATGAGGGTGGTATGAGGGCCCGACGTCCACAGGTGGGGGTTGTGCTTATTGGGTTCCTCCTAATGCAAGACAATGCTAGACCTCCTGTGGCTGGAGTGTGTCAGCAGTTCCTGCAAGAGGAAGGCATTGATGCTATGGACTGTCCCGCCCGTTCCCCAGACCTGAATCCAATTGAGCACATCTGGGACATCATGTCTCGCTCCATCCACCAACGCCACATTGCACCACAGACTGTCCAGGAGTTGGCGGATGCTTTAGTCCAGGTCTGGGAGGAGATCCCTCAGGAGACCATCCGCCACTTCATCAGGAGCATGCCCAGGCGTTGTAGGGAGGTCATACAGGCATGTGGAGGCCACACACACTACTGAGCCTCATTTTGACTTGTTTTAATGACATTACATCAAAGTTGGATCAGCCTGTAGTGTGGTTTTCCACTTTAATTTTGAGGGTGACTCCAAATCCAGACCTCCATGGGTTGATACATTTGATTTCCATTGATCATTTTTGTGTGATTTTGTTGTCAGCACATTCAACTATGTAAAGAAAAAAGTATTTAATAAGATTATTTCATTCATTCAGATCTAGGATGTGTTATTTTAGTGTTCCCTTTATTTTTTTGAGCAGTGTATATCTTCCTGAAGGGCCTAACACACTGACACAGCTGGACAGACAATATTCAAATAGCATGATCATTGTAACGTTACTGTAAAATGTTAGTGGTTAGCCTAGTCATGAACACTACAGTAATAGTGTCACTGGCATCATTATCAACATGACACTCACCTCATAGGCCTTGACAGCAAGGTCCGTCTTTCGTCCATTGACTTCTACAAACTTCACAACGAAGCCTTCTCTAGCTCCTTTTGACATGATCAACCTGCAATGTGAAAGAAGTGTAACTGCTATATGGATTTAGGAACAGTCATATGGCTAGCAGACTCTTTAATTCATGACATATAGCTAACGTTAGCTAGCTACAGAGAATATAACTAGCTAGATGACATGAATGTTGACATATTGTTAGTTAGCTAGTTTATTTTGCTGCCAGTGTCAGTGACTAAGTAATATGGCGTCAGCGACAACATATTTAACTAGCTACAATAGCTAGCTAACGGATAAATCACGATAGCATTGAGTCACTTTCTGCTATGAGAATGTGCAGTTGTGCTCAAAACGTCTGGGAAGGGGGAACATTTACATTTTAGTCATTTAGCAGACGTTCTTATCCAGAGCGACTTACAGTTAGTGAGTGCATACATTTTTCATGGGAACAGTTCAGGTTCACCACTGTTCTTACCTTGTTATAAGACCTCCAACATTAGCGTATTCCTTTAGCCAGCAAATAACTAGTTTAGCTAGCTAGTTTACGCGTTAGTTATCTAGAACTAACAAGTTACAGGATTAAAAATCATCGCGCTCGCGAAGGGCCAAATCACTTTTGCTCGTGACCCAAATGAAGTGTGTGACAGACTTCAATTACGAATTTGTCATTCTCAGATGTTGATGATCATCAAAATAAGATGTCTAAAACCTGAACAAACACTCATTATTATCGTAATTAACAAGTCATTTGTCTAGATCACAGTGTACAACTGTTCAGTCATCATAAAGATAGAAAATCGCAAGCTGTGTTTTCGTCGTTATTCGCGCGAGGAAATCGTAATCGGATGCTGACGGAAGTGGGATTTTTGGGTGTCCTAAAAAAAGTTAATTTGAATGTGCGCCCCTGCTGGCGGGAATATAAATGCATTCAAATCCAACACGATTTTCCACTTACCTTGGCTGCTGCCTGCTATGTAGTTAATTCACCATGCCACCAACGGCCCACCAAAAATGAAATGGTCAAATCTGAAGCCCAGTCTACTTAGAATATCAGAAATAAGATCCGAAATACTAGAAAACTAGTATAAGTATGGTTTATGATTAGATTTGTATTGTTAGTATGTGTACTGCAGCCCAAGATTCTGGACCTTTATGGTACAAGTTTGCTTGCTCTGTCAATGTATGTACTGTTGCTATGCCCCACTCTGGTATAAAGTTGGACATTTCTCTTATCGAACTGTACTTTACGTTGTCATTCACTCTTCTCAGTTTAATTGGGAATAGAAACACATTCTGATATAAAGAACAACATTGTGGGTTCCCTTTTATTCTTAAAATCTTATGTACAAGTGCAACTTTTATTTTTTATGTACATTCAATATAGAAAGTTTATATACGTCATTTTACATTGAACATTTCCCAATTGCACTAGTCTTTCACATTGATGTATAATCAGAGTCAGTTTCATTCCTAATGTCTCAACAGAAGCTCATTTCAGTTGGTAAAGGCCGTTATTTACCTATAAATATTCGAGTGCTTTTTGCATTCTGGGAAAGGAAAATAACATAGAAAAAGATTCTTGGTAGCGGCAGAAAGGACAACCTTCAAATAGATAGTGAGCAGAGCAAAGTATGGATCAGGATCATCATGAGGAAGGTAAGACAAACAGGAGACAACGAACACACACGTACGGCCACTTCAAAAAGGGCAGTCTTAATTCACCACAGTTCTGTCAGTTCCTCCTTACAACATTTTTTTCAACCTTTTCCATACGACACTAAAACGTTATAAAATTAGGAAATATTTTCGATGCATGACTGGACGCCTCCTGTAAACAGGTGAGTGGAGATTAAAGTTAATCTTTGTCCAGTCAGTGACCACATGTCCAGGCCAGATACAGTACCCTCCTTCAGGGATGGGGGGTGTGAGGATGTGTGTGACCAGGCAGGGTAGTGAGACCAGGCATGATGGAGGAGAGGAAGGAGAAGAGAATAGAGGGTGAGACAGGTCCAAATTTACATAGATCCTCTGTCTTTTACTCCACAAAAATTAAGAGTAAAAAATATATTCATACAAAAGTAAACTATTTGTTGTCTCATTGGAAGAAACAAAGGAGCACAAAAACAGACCAAAAAAACGAAGGTTGACGACGACAAGTTTTATAATTTACTTTAAGACGGTTTTACGAAGACTGACTGCTGTTTGGGGGGGCAGGGGAAGGAGAGTGACATTTTGAAGGTGTGGCGACGGTGGACATTTTGGGGACAGTTTGTTGCCCCCTTCCTCCCTCTCCTTCCTCCCTCTCCTTCCTTCCTCCCTCCCTCCCTCGGGGAGCTGAGCAGTCTCTGAGCTGCAGCTTTGGAGCCGCAGGGCAGTCTGGAGGGCTGAGCACTTCTCTCTCAGTCCGTCCGTCTGTCAGTCAGACTTTCAGCCTGAGTCTCCAATGTCATTGTCCACAGGGGGCGGAACGCTGGGCAGCACTGTGGAGCCAGTTCCTGCTGTAAGGTAGCCTGCCACTCCTGGACCTGCAGGAGACAGCCACACAGAAAGACACATGGGATTAGATAGACTAAGGAATGCTCAAGGCTGACCACTGGAACTGAATGCTCAAGATGGGTGACTGAGGTCAACACTAGATTATCTGGTGAAAGTCTTACATTGTGTGGTTATGTTACAGTGTTGGCGGTGTGAGAGGTGGTAGTGGATATGGCATGGAGGTATTTGAACTATTGCTACTTAGAGCGTCAGCAAGCATATTGCCACTGTTTACTTTATTAGGGCCAATGTTGGCTTATCAAGGGCAGGGCTTCCACTGGTTCACCCATTGACTTGTGCTACAGTGATCCAGCCATAGCGTTTTTCCAATCCATGTCCGAAGATGAGATGAGAAGTGGGGGAAAGTGGAAATGGAAAAACTGAGCAGTAGCACAAGATGGGGGGCGACAGGATAAGGAGTGGTGGAAGTGGAGGGAGGGGAAGGGTGGGGGAGCAAGGACAAAGTCTACCTGCAGTCAGAGCAAAGAGAGAGGGCCATGCACAGGAAACTACAGCCCGCTCCGCAGGGGGCTGCTGGCCGCCATGAGAGAGGGAGTGGACACACCTGAGGAAGAAGGAAACGTGGAGGAGAAAGGGAAAGAAAAGGAGGAAGAGAGGAGAACAGAGAGGAAAAGGAAGGGAGGAGGACTTACTGAGAGGTACTAAGCACAAAGTGAGGAGTCAGCAGCCACAAAGTGCTCAATGGAAGCATAGTAGAACGAAAGGATTCAGATTGAGCTTGTACAATGCCCCCTCTAAACTGACCTTCTTTGTAGTGCATAATATACTGTGTGTGTCTGTGGATTACATTCCTACCTGTGAGGTACCCTGCGGTCTGGGACTCGGAGATAAACAGGTCATGTTTCTGGTCTTTGAAGGCACTCCACACAGTGGACCGAGCCAGGATTTCATTCACCTGCAACACAGGACCCCCTCAGACTGATAAAAGTGTACAGCACCATAGCAATTAGGATAGGATCAACTTTAATGTCTTAGACTCACAGTAAGCACTGCAATATATTGTTGATATACTGATTGATATATTGATTGACATATAGTTGTGATGCCTAACCTGTTCTCCATAGTGCAGACTGCGTGTCATGGACTTGAGAGCCTTGACGATCTGAGCCTTGGTGGCCGAGGGGTTGTCTAAGGTCTCCAGCCCAATCCCTTCCAGTAGCCGCAGGAGGTACGGCACCAGCTCCACTCTGAGGGCCTGTGTGTGCATGTAGGAACCCATGGACACGGAAAAACACTCAAATGACATGGAATAACAACAAGTAAAAAAGGGTAGAACGTAAGCACACCCTGTGTTTTCCCCTAAGCAATTAACAGGAAGAAATGGTGAGAAAATGTAACCGTTAACCCCAAATGGCACCCTATTCCCTATATAGTGAACTCCTTTTGACCAGAGCACTATGCACTGCATTGAGAAGAGGGCGCCATTCGGGACTCCGCAATGATAGAGAGATGAGCTACCTGAGACACGAGGTCTGTTTGCTCTCTCTGGAACATGCGGTTGAGCGCCTCACAGGCCAGTCCTGCCATGTCCATCCTCATCTTCATCCCACTCATTAGAGGACCGATGGTCTCCAGAGAAGCCATGGAGCGCACACATTGCTGGGCGTGCACACACGATACATTAGACTTGCTATACATTTCTAAGTGTGACAGAAATAAATATAAAACAGATCTGGTGTACATGGGAAGATTGTTGACCTCATTACAACCAAATCAGGACTATTGTAGACTCTGTATGTAGTTGAGGTTGGCTTGGTTGTAGTTATACAGCTACATTAGCACATCAGCCAATCGTAGCTTGCTAAACTAGCTAATGGTAGATCTGGTCACCTTCTCACGTTGTGGAAAGCCACCATAGACTGTGATCTCACCTCGTTGTCTGAGAGCACGTGGATGAGGCGGATAGAGCTCTTGGGCACGGCGTTGTTCTTGTGGGTCAGTGCTGCCAGGATGCGGTGCAGGTGGCCCAGGGGAGGGACCTGATCACACAGCTGGGTCTGGGTGCTGAACAAACACACCGCTGCCGTGGTAACTGTCTCCAGGGCCTCACCCTGTTGGAAACGAGCCGCGAAGGTTAGAAATTGAGATTTTTGCGTACAAGTACAAGCATAAAGTGGATATTCTGTACAGGGTATTTTATGAGATGACAATAGATATTTTTCTGCTCAGTTACAGGAAATATATGTGTGTGTGCGCACGAAATGTGCTTTAATTCACTCAGTGTGTCCTCACATTGGGGTTGTTCTTCTCAAACAGCTCAGTAAGGGTCTCCAGGAGGGCCACTAGAAACTCCCGGGGTTTGCGAAGCACCCAGCCCGGCTGAGCGATGAAGATACGCAGGAAGACTCCGCCCACCGCCAGCTCACCCTGCCCCGCCCCGTATGCCACCGTGAACTCCTCTGGCAGCTGCACACAGTCAACATTGTATTATTAACACACCATGTAATTCATGTGATTACTGTTGTTTACGCTGATTCCTTTGGGCATTTATCAGGTCACCTTATTCACTGTTTACTACACAGCGATTATTATTATTTTTTTAAAAGATGATATCCATAACATTCAAAACAACATATTTACATGAATATGGCTCAATTTATTAATATGAATAAACTTACTCTCCAGCTAACATCAGGATTATCCTTCTGCTGCTTAAAGTGCCTGCAGAGCAAAAGGGAGGAACACAAGAGACAAATCACGTGGTCAGGAAAAACTCGATACTACTCGACACGTAGACACTGTAGGTTTCCCAATAAGAGAGAAAGATTGCGTACTCGAGCATCATCTCCCGGACGGTGGTGGAGACGGTCTCCCGGGAGCCGTCGTTCCAGATGAGTTCGGGGTTCTCATGTGTCCCCTCGAAGATGTGCACCGCCGCCTCCGCATTGTCCCGCATAGCGTCCATGAACACGCCGGGCAGGAAACGCATCAGAGTCAGACGCACCTAAGGGAGAGAGGGATGAGGGAGGGAGAAAACAGGGCCCTAGCCAAAAGTAGGGTGCCATCTGGGAAGCAGAGCTAAAGTAGTCTATACAGAGTGATCGCTCTCTTCCTATGACCATCCACACAAGGATACTGACTGACCTTTGGCCCCACCAGCTTGTCTGAGGTCATCTTGGAGAAGAGCTCGGCTGTCTGGGTGCGCACCTGGGGGTGGGTGGAGTTACAGAAGAGGTCCAGTAGGTAGATCAACACACCTGGAGGAAAGAGGGCAGGGTTTGACATTCACTTTTTTTGGACAGATTTTTTACTTCTCTTTCCTGGGACGATAAAACGGACTCTGGGACAGTTCTGGGATGACAGATCCAAAATTCATACAACCACTACATTAAAAAAATGTAAAAAAAAGCAGTTAGCTTAAAATGTTGAACAAGTTTTATTTCTTCATATTATGAGCTCAACAATGCGCACATGGCTGTAGGCTACGCGTGAACGTTCCAAAATGCAATCAGAGGGAAAACACCATTCTCAAAAGCGCACCGCACGCATGAGCGGTTTCATCTGACAGAGATGAAAATATCTGCTCGAAATTAAGAAAGCGGGGAGATCTAAACATGCATCAACTACCATGGGTTAGGCCTACTAATATGACCAGGATTAATGCCTTTGGCTGCTGGACAATACAATAAAGTTGATTTGAAAACTTATAGAACATGAGAAAAATGCCGGTTTCTAGGGCATATTAAGCGTTTATAAAATAATTCCCTCATTATTTCTATGGTCGTATTTTGGCTAGGCTACTTTGAAACAAGGTAAGACATGCTTCATAAAATGACATAACATTTCCAGGTTTTAAACAATACGTTTATGGTTAAATAGCTTCAAAATGCTGACTGCCTCCGCTCAGATTCAAGGTGGGTTATGTACGGCGCGCAACAGGCACTGTCCTTCTCCGGTCTGTTGTGACCATTTTATCTGAACGAACCTTGCCTCGAGAATGTCAACAGAATCAAGCCTTTAGACTAATGTTAACTAAACTTCATTATATTTTTAAAACATGACTAGCGTTTATCCTATATTTACGTAATTAAAGGTCTCCTTAAAGTTTGGCTAAATCATGTATGGAAATGCGCCATTGTAGAATCTATGCCAAGGCGCATTGAAGCTGTTCTGGTCGCTCGTGGTGGCCCAACGCCCTACTAAGACACTTGATGTTGGTGTTTCCGTTATTTTGGCAGTTACTATAATACTGTAATACAAGAACTAAGAACAATCTGCATAATACCGACCCTTAGCCATAGCTTCTTTGACTATCTTGGTGTTGGAGGTCAAGGCGTACAAGGTTTCCAGTACAAGCTGCCGGCCTGAAAGGGATACAGAAAATCAGACAGGCAGGTTTTGAATGAAGTATATATAGTACAAAGGAGTAGTAGATGAAGTAGGTGTTCTGTGGTCTTACTGGAGGGCAAGGAATGCAGTAGCACCAGTAGGTTGGACAGCACCAGGGACTCAGCGATGTTGGTCACACATTCCTGGTTGGAGGTGACCGTGTTCACAACCTTGGGGAGAAAAACAAAGAGTGAATGTGTGTGTGAGAGAGAGCGAGCGAGCGTGAACATTTGAATTGGGAGAGCGTCACTGTACCTCCAAAGCTATCTGCTGCACCTTCCCAGCCCCGTGAACCCGTAACAAGGAGAAGAGCAGCTTGAAATGGCCGATGCACTCGGTCTCTGAACCTGGGGTCAACAAAGGTCACAGAGCACACGTTCAGTTAAGGTCATGAAAAAAGCGAATAAAAAAAGTTTTTAAAATGTGGGTACCTGGGTTGTTCTTAATAACGTTGCGCAAGGCCTCCAGGGCCATCTCAGCCCAGCGGAGCCTCTCTGCGTGCTGCTGGGACTCCACCTTGTTGCTCTGGGACATGGCCAGCAGGGTGGTGAGGTACTGGGCCTGGGAGCCCACGTAGTCCAGCAGGCTGGCCGCAAACGCCTTGGGGTACTGGACCATAGGGAACAGGGAGACATAGTTATAGACTTAGAATAAGGCCTATAACATCTGATCTGATGTACATCAAATTACTAGCATTCTATTTAATTATATGGTTGTAGCTAAATACCTTACAGTATCAGTCAAAAGTTTGGACACATCTACTCATTCAAGGGTTTGTCTTGTAGAATAATAGTGAAGACATCAAAACTATGACATTTCACAAATTTACTTTTAACAAGGCACACCTGTTAAATTGAAATGCATTCCAGGTGACTACCTCATGAAGCTGGTTGAGAGAATGCCAAGCGTGTGCAAAGCTGTCATCAAGGCAAAGGGTGGCTACTTTTGATTTGTTTAACACTTTTTTGGTTACTACATGATTCCATATGTGTTATTTCATAGTTTTGATGTCTTCACTATTATTCTACAATGTAGAAAATTATTAAAATAAAGAAAAACCCTTGAATGAGTAGGTGTGTCCAAACTTTTGACTGGTACTGTAGATATTACCAGATAATTACCTGCAGGTTTTCAGATATTACTGTGAGCTGCGTGAAGCAAATGGATTACCGTGATTGTGTGCTACTTAATGACATGACTACTTTATGGCATGACAATGACTACTTTATGGCATGACAATGACTACAATGTTGTTGGTACCAATTTGATTGAACAATGGTTGACAGTGACAAGTATGGGGCATGGTCTAACCCTATACTGAGTATTGGGGCTCACCTCCAGAGGATAGGTAGGCTGCTCGTTGTAGACCCGGACAAAGATCTCGCCCACGATAAGCTCTTTACCATGGTCACTGAACACAAACTCTGAGCCAAAGCTCTTATCATTATCCCCCTAGGACAGAGACGGATAGAGAGGCATTTCTTTACGCAGGCCTAATAATACAGTTTTACAATGATCATAACACAGATGTCCATGGCTGCGTCCCAAATGGACCCTATAGACCTGGGTCAAAAGTAGTGCACTATACAGGGAATAAGGTGCCATTTGGGATGTAGCCACATTCTAGAGCCAGTCCAAGTGCTCTGCTCACCCTCCTGATGTTGGCTTCCTGCTGGGCCTCTAGGAACTCCAGCAGCTCGGCCCGGGTCCCGTTGTTCCAGATCAGGTAAGGGTTCTCTGAGTTGCTGTTCAACAGCTTCAGTACCTAGTAAACACACAGGGGAAAAGACAAGGAACAGCTGCATAAGTGAATGCGTGTGTGTGTGTGAGTGAGTGCGAGCATGAAGTTTGGCATATCAGAGTATATCCTCAAGAGTGTTTTAACTAGTGGGTCTATGAGTATGTGTTATTGTGTCTAATCTACATAATCCCTTTCACCTTTTCCAATATCACTCACCTCCGCCGGTGCCCCCGACCCTAACCTCCTCGATATATAGGGTGTGAGCATGGCCGCCAGGCTCTTACGAATCGTAGGGTTCTCCGGGGTTTGCCCCTCCAGCCCGTTAGTCTCCACTACACCTCCCTCTCCAGGGGGTGGGGGTGTCGGGGCGTAGCCCCCCAGACGGCTGAGGGCCACCAGGCTGAGCTTGGCCAGGCTGTTGGCCACCTCCTGCTGGTTGGTGTCCTGGCTGGTGGCCACGCCGCTCTCCTCCAGTGTGTAGTCGTAGTTGAACAGGTGCACCAGGAGGTGCCAGAGCACGCCGGCGTGGTACAGGTGCGCCTGCAGGAAGTAGTCCACGGCGAAGGAGCTGACGCACTGCACGGCCAGCGCCGCTGTCCGCTGGAGACCCTGAGAGAGAGAGGATACGAGATGATTGCTATCAATTGAAGGTATGTGCTCACTTTTAAAATGCCCCTTTTAGGAAGTATAAATCGGTGTCCTTTCTGCATTGGATGATAAAGTGGTATCCCATTAACATATCCAGAGCCAGAGATACAAGGCTGTTGTTACATGATTAAATAGAGGTCTCACCTTCCCATAGTAGAGCACGTGACACAGGTCCCTGATGATGTTGGGCAGCTCGATGATCTTCTCCCGGCACTCCTCAAACTGAGCCGCTACACAGTAGCACTTACACACCTGGCCACACACCTAGGCAGAGACAAAATAACACAGCCCATTAACGACACAGAACAGTAACACTCATTTCCAGCCTGACATGTATGGGTTAGAATACAGTGATAATAGTGAGACACAGAGGGATGTATGTGGATCTGGTGTATTGTTAAATATATATATATTTATTAGGTGATTTTACACTTTATTCAGACAGTAAGGAAATTAGAGGCCTAGACTGGCAAGTGGGATAAACAGTGGAAAGGGTAGACTGGAGGATTGAATCCTTGTCTCCGGTGGGGGAATTGCATATAAGACATATGCCAGGGAGTGTTACCACTCCACCACGGCTCTGCACTGTATCTGGTGGTCTTACTTGAACAGCCATGTCATCAGACTTGCTGGAAGCGGTTAAAACAGCGACACACCGGGATAGGGCGTCCAACAGAATCTGGTGGAAAAGGGAGGGGGAAAAGTACTTTTTTATTTAGACCATGTTTACACCATAAAAGTACGAATGTAAGAATGTCGATCAGAAAAGGTGAAGATTGTTGCAACAATAGTATCTGAATTGTATTCATTAGTGCACACCGATTCAAAACGTAGCAAAACGTTTTGCAACGGAAAATGAAAAACAAGCATTTCTTATTGGACACCTCCCTGTTATAGTAGTTTACTTCCATTGAATATGACCCTGATATGTGAATAGCCATTAGTGTTGTTAGTTTTACCTCAATGCCACTTTCTCTGCGTAATTCCTCGGCGTTGAGGGCAGAGCAGTTGACCGTGTGGAAGGCCAGCTCGATTGCAGCCGGGAGCAGGGGGCAGGTCTTGGAGAACAGCTGCTCGTCACCCGTCTCCATTGTGATGGTCTTGATGAGCATGGGGTAGCCAGCGTACTTGTAAGGTTCCAGTTCTGTCAACAAGAGGATAACAAGAGCTTGCCTTAAAGGGATAGTTCGCCCAATTTACAAAACAAAATATTGGTTTCTTTGCCCTGTAAGCAGTCTATGGACAAGGTAAGATAGCAATCCATCCTTTGGTTTTATTTACATGGCCACTGTCTCCAAATGCTAACTTTTTAGCATTTGTGTCCAAAAACCAAGTTAATATGCCCTGACATTGTCATTTTTGTGTGTTTTTATGTCCAATTCACCTTAATAACATAAAACATACAATACTACAGACAATGCAGAATAGCGCAGAGAATATTAGAGTGTCAGACCTTGTTTGTGTCTGTTGAAGAGGATGCTCTGGGCTTTGAGGATGAGGATGATGTTCTCAGGGTCGGGGCCATCGATGATGCGGGCCGACTTGGTGCACAGGAACTCATAGGCCTTGTTCACCTTCTCAAACATGTCCTGAACACACAGAGACACAGCCATGAACACTCCTCAAACTCTGATGATAATGTCTGGGTCCCAAATGGCATCCTATTTCCTATATCAGTGGTCACCAAGCTTTTCTGAGTCAAGATCACTTTGAGTCAAAATGCAAGCCGAGATCCACCGCTCAGATAAAAAAAATAAACATACGCCTATGCAACATTAACCTATTAAAAACAGTCCTGTAGTAATGAGGTTTGTGCAGTAAGCTATAGCCCCAATACATTAGCACTGCATATTGGCTATGCTTGAATTGCCCTACATTGCTGTTCTTCTCAGACCACTTAAAAATTATAGTTCAAAATTGGAGGTATATGATCAAACTGGTAATAGAACAGTTATTATATTACTTGTGAGGCACAGCTGAGTGGGCCTAATTTCAAATAAATTGCTTTGCTCAACGTCCCTCCGCTCTCCCTCCCTCCACTGAGACTGACCAAAAAGGGGACACAGTCTTCCAGCTGATGGGGAAACTCGAGTCGCACCGCATTATTTCTGCCTCATGCACAAATTCATGTTGTAACTCCTATGACCAGAGAAAGTGAAACTTTTTGTAGCACGAGTGGAAGTAGGCAGCAGCGCATTTTATGGCTTATAAAAGTGTTGAATAAAAAGTATTGACAGTGCTGAGTTAAAACTTAAACATGAACAGCTGCTCTTTGCTGTAATTGTTGACAGTTTGTCTAGTTTTTTTAGTTTTGAAATCTCACAGTATCAACTTTGCTGTGCGCTCGAGGAAGCTGCAGACACGGTAATCTGAGTTATCCGATTGGCCAGCTGTAGGCTTATAGTTGCACTTGATTTGCTGTCCGGGGAATTTGTAGCTTCAGACACATGAAATGGTTCAAAATGGAAACAAGTGGCCTCCTGTAGCTCAGTTGGTAGAGCATGGCGCTTGCAACGCCAGGGTTGTGGGTTCGATTCCCACGGGGGGCCAGTATGAAAAATGTGTGCACTCACTAACTGTAAGTCGCTCTGGATAAGAGCGTCTGCTAAATGACTAAAATGTCAAATGTAAGTGCACCTACCGCCACAGCGTAAAAAAATAAAAAAGGAATTCGAGGCTTTATCGTTGGGTTTTTTACAGAAACGTTTGGCAATCGACTAGGAAGCCTTGGAGATCGACCAACCACACAACACAGAAGGCCCAATAATACAGGGTCATGTTCAATAGGTCATGCGATGGAAAACATTCAAAAACACATTGCAAGTTTTGTTTGTGACCACTGCCCTATATAATGCACTACATCTGGGATGCAGCAGTGGTGAGATAACGTACCCTGCCCTCTGGGTTCTTGTCCGGATGGTATTTCTGCGCCAGTCTGAAGTAGGCCTTCCTGATCTTACTCTCCTCATGCCTGTGGAAAAACCATTGTATAACAATCAGAACATCTAAAATATTCCACTGATAGACATCTTGTAGAGGAGAGATTCTTTTCTTTTTTTAACCAGGTAAGCCAGTTGAGAACAAGTTCTCATTTACAACTGCGACCTTGCCAAGATAAAGCAAAGCAGTGCGATAAAAACAACAACACAGAGTTACATATGGGGTAAACGAAAACAAAACGTACAGTCAATAACACAATAGAAAATATATATACAGTGTGTGCAAATGTAGTAAGTTATGGAGGTAAGGCAATAAATAGGCCATAGTGCAAAATAATTACAATTTAGTATTAACACTGGAGTGATAGATGTGCAGAAGATGATGTGCAAATAGAGATACTGGGGTGCAAATGAGCAAAATAAATAACAATATGGGGATGAGGTAGTTGGGTGGGCTAATTACAGATGGGCTGTGTACAGGTGCAGTGATGGGTAAGCTGCTCTGACAACTGATGCTTAAAGTTAGTGAGGGAGATAAGAGTCTCCAGCTTCAGAGATTTTTGCAGTTCGTTCCAGTCATTTGCAGCAGAGAACTGGAAGGAATGGCGGCCAAAGGAGGTGTTGGCTTTGGGGATGACCAGTGAGATATACCTGCTGGAACGCATACTACGGGTGGGTGTTGCTATGGTGACCAATGGTCTAAGATAAGGCAGGGATTTGCCTAGAAGTGATTTATAGATGGCCTGGAGCCAGTGGGTTTGGCGGCGAATATGTAGTGAGGGCCAGCCAACGAGAGCGTACAGGTCACAAATGGTGGGTAGTATATGGGGCTTTAGTGACAAAATGGATGGCACTGTGATAGACTACATCCAATTTGCTGAGTAGAGTGTAGAGAGTAGAGATGACAGAGGGAAGGGAGAAGCGTATTTTTCTTCATATATGAACGACCACTTACTGTCCCTGTCCTTTGGGCAGGTTGAGGACTTCGTAGGCATCGTCTACAGACATGGAGGGAGGCTTCTTCTCTACCTCCCTCTTCCAGGCCTCCAGGGTGTCCTTCAGCAGCTTCACCTGCAGGGGGCAGAACACAATAGAGACCAATGAGGAGAGCACTATTAGGGTCTCCATCCCTTTCATATACACTTTTAGTATAGGTGCTGCAGTCGGAAGCACTTCCAAAACACACCTTCACTAGTCAATCAATCAGCCTCTCACAAGCCCATTCTGCCATCATATAGTTGCACACACACACAGTTCACATCAACGTACGGGCTCTCGGATGGGCCAGTTGGGGAAGCGGTTGGCGTCACACAGGTGCCGGAGGTAGTAGATGTTGCAGAAGAGCTCGTTGTCCAACTGGGGGAAGCTGACCACGGGGATGGGGCAGTACTGGTAGAGGGCCCGTGTGTTGCTGTACAGCCGCGGGCTGAAGTCAGCCAGGTGGGCCGCAAGCTTCTCAATCATCAACCGCCTGGGGGGGGGGGGGGGGGGGGGGGGACACACAATCCAACACACAAGAGGCAGATGTGTAGATGACCGAGAGAGAGAAAGTCTTGGTCCAAAAACAATCCTTCTACACCCATCTGGTCCTTTCAAATCCGGTAAAAAAAGTAATTGGGAATAGCACCTGAGATTTGAATTCAGACTCGGCAAAAGACAGTCAAAGGACAATGACAGCAAGCTTGTGCCTACCTCATCTCGCTGCTCCAGATGGCCTCGGGCGTGTCAAACTCTCCAAGGAAGATCTCAGAAAAGCGTTCTGCCTCATAGTTTTCCAGGTAACACACCATGGCCTCGGGCAGGACCGGCCCCAGAACACTGCGCTGCACAATGTCTGTACCTTTGGCCTCTTCTGACTTGAAGGCCTGCTTCAGGTGAGTGTACTTCAGGAACCTAAAGGAAACCACAAGATGTAACTTAGGCCAACAGAAAATAATTAGGATATATATATATATATATATACACACAGCTGCGGAAAAAATTAAGAGACCACTGCAAAATGATCAGTTTCTCTAGTTTTACTATTTATAGGTATGTGTTTGGGTAAAAATAACATTTTTGTTTTATTCTATAAACTACTGACAACATTTCTCCCAAATTCCAAATAAAAATATTTTCATTTAGAGCATTTGTTTGCAGAAAATGACAACTGGTCAAAATAACAAAAAAGATGCAGTGTTGTCAGACCTTGAATAATATAATGAAAGAAAATAAGTTCATGTTCATTTTTAAACAACACAATACTAATGTTTTAACTTAGGAAGAGTTCAGAAATCAATATTTGGTGGAATAACCCTGATTTTCAATCACAGCTTTCATGCGTCTTGGCATGCTCTCCACCAGTCTTTCACATTGATGTTGGGTGACTTTATGCCACTCCTGGTGCAAAAATTCAAGCAGCTCGGCTTTGTTTGATGGCTTGTGACCATCCATCTTCCTCTTGATCACATTCCAGAAGTTTTCAATGGGGTTCAGGTCTGGAGATTGAGCTGGCCATGACAGGGTCTTGATCTGGTGGTCCTCCATCCACACCTTCATTGACCTGGCTGTGTGGCATGGCGCATTGTCCTGCTGGAAAAAACAATCCTCAGAGTTGGGGAACAATGTCAGAGCAAAAGGAAGCAAGTTTTCTTCCAGGACAACCTTGTACGTGGCTTGATTCATGCGTCCTTCACAAAGACAAATCTGCCAGATTCCAGCCTTGCTGAAGCACCCCCAGATCATCACCGATCCTCCACCAAATTTCACAGTGGGTGCGAGACACTGTGGCTTGTAGGCCTCTCCAGGTCTCCGTCTAACCATTAGACGACCAGGTGTTGGGAAAAGCTGAAAATTGGACTCATCAAAGAAGATGACCTTACTCCAGTCCTCTACGGTCCAATCCATATGGTATTTTGCAAACCTCAGCCTGGCTCTTCTTTGCTTCTCATTGATGAAGGGCTTTTTTCTAGCTTTGCACGACTTCAGCCCTGCCCCTAGGAGCCTGTTTCGAATCGTCCTCGCCGTGCACTTCACCCCAGCTGCCGTTTGCCATTCTTTTTATAGGTCACTTGATGTCATCCTACGGTTGTTGAGTGACATTCGAATGAGTTGGCGGTCATCCCGGTCAGTAGAGAGTCGTTTTCGGCCCTCTGCCGGTCTGTAGCTTTGTTGTCCCCAATGTCTGCTGCTTGACCTTGTTCTTATGAACCGCCGTCATTGACATTTTAAGGATGGAAGCAACCTGACGCTCACTGTATTCCTCTGCCAGTAAAGCCAGAATTGAACCTTTTTTTCCTCACTCAAAACTTTCCTTTTCAACTCTTTTGGCATGGTCAATAGTTATTTTTTGATTAATATTACTTTTGAGGTACTATTAGCACGGTTTTTGCCATCCAGCTGGTCCTATTGCAAGAGGATAGTGATGACCACAGGAGTGGTTTTTATACTTTTCCCCGTTAAATAAGATTTGGTTCAGGTGATCACCTAATCAGTACCTAATTCAGTAGACTGAGGTGTGCCTGTGTTGGAATTCAACAGACACTGGAATGGAATGGCTGTCATACATGTAGAGATGCTGATTTAAGAAACATTTGCAGTGGTCTCTTACATTTTTTCCAGCATGTATGTGTATGCGCGTGAATACATGAGCATACGTGAGTTTGTAAGTATGTGTGTATACGTGTGTGTGACATGAGTGTTTGTCATGCGTGGTTCGTGGTGTGTGCGTGTGTATGACATGCGTGCATCTCTCCACCAGTCTGACCTGGCCACAGGCAGCACGTTGGAGCCGGTGTACATCATAATGAAGAAGAAGATGCCAGTGAGGTAGAGGCGCTGCAGGTTGGGGTTGTCCTGCATCACCAGGTACAGCACGTTGGCCACCTTCTCCACCAGGATGGGGTCAAAGGTCAGCAGCAGCTGATTGGAGAAGGGAAGAGGAAATAGTACACGTTTCATGACATTTGATTTTATTTAACCAGGAAGTGCCATTGAGGTCAGAAGACATCTTTTCACAAGGGAGACCTGGGTCTACATTAACCTCAGTACATTTCAGGGCTCATATTCATAACGCTTCTCAGAGTAGAGGTACTGATCTAGGATAAGTTTGACCTTATAGATTATAAACAATGGAGCGGGGGACCTGATCCTAGATCAGCACTCCCTATCTGAGATCCTTTATGAATACCAGTCCAGCTGGCTAAAGTGGTAGGATAGTGATTTGAATGACAACCAAACATGTGAATGATATTAACTATGGGAGGGAGATGGAGCTAATAACAGGTTGGTTTCACTCACCTGGACAATGTGGGGGAGGCAGGTGTTGTCACTGATCATTCTCTTGATCTTGGGTAAAGGACGAATAATGGCATTGTCCTGGTCCCTGGGGAAAGATGGAGACACACTCACACTTTAAACTGGGGTTCAGCGAGAGAATGAAAGAGAGGGAATGAGAGAGAAAATGAAAGAGAGAGAAAGAATAAAATAGAGAGGGAGAAAATGTAAGTGAGAATGAAAGAACAAGAGGGAATGAAAGAGAATAAAAGAGAGAGAACGAAAGAAAAACATTGAGAGAGAACAGAAGTGGGACAAAAGGAGATAACTGATGATCTTCTCCCTACCTGCTGGGGTAGTAGGAGCACATGGTGATCAGCATGTTGAGGATGAGCGTGGCCAGGTCCGTCTCGTTCATCACCGCCTGCCCGCTGGCCAGCAGGCACCACTTGAGCTGGGGGATGGCCTGCAGGGGGCGCCAGCCGTCCATGCCCTGGGCCCAGCACCGCGTCTTGGCCGTCAGCACCCCCGTGTTCCAGAATTCCTGCATCTGGAGCGGTGGGGGAGGCACATGCACGTGTTCAGTCATAAAGATATCATACTCAGGGATAGTTCACCCACATTACAAAAATGTGCCTTGTCTTGGAGATACCAAAAAAAACTAATCAACGCAACTGGATCCAGATAATCAGACTTAGGATTTTTCTTTTGAAGTAGAGCTAAGCATTAGTCTTGGTTTAGCATTTAATAGAAACATACCTCTTCAAAGCTAAAGGGGCCCCTCCTCTCTTTGTCTGCGTTCCCAAAGTACCACTCCTTCTCGCTCTCCCTCTTCATGTCCGCCCCGGCCTCGATCACATTGCTCTGACAGACACAAAGACATGTTATTAGCATGAAACCAGACAGACTGGCCTGTTACTGAAGCATATAGCTGTCAAATTTCTATTTGAATAGTTATACGCTTCCAAAACCTGTAACTGTATCAAATCATACAACTTTAGATATGTGTTAGAAGAATACACTACAATTTGGGTGGTTCAGACAGGGCAGTTGTAAAGACCTGTAGTGGGACGGTGGCTCGGCTGGTGTGTAGGTGGGCCAGGGTGAGCAGGTCCACTAGGATACGAACTCCATTGGAGTCCATCACCTCCTTCACATTTTTCTTGTTGAGAATGAGTTTGTTAAGGAAAATGATCAGTCTGTCTCTTTCCAGTTTGTCTGTAGACTGTAAATACAGAGGGGGAGAGGGAGAAGTTACCATTTCAAAACTGTCCCAAAGGAACTGTGTGTGTGGCTTTTTGTCGAGCAAAACGCGACTGTACAACACTGCCTACAGAGCCCTCCGCACATTGCACTACAATATGTCGAGTTCCCCTGTATTTGGGAGGGAAACAGCTGTGTAGCCTATTGCTTGATTGTGTTTATGAGTCTGTTATCAAAAAATTTGCAACAATGTTGTGTATGTTTGTTGCTAAATCATGTATGGGCTGTTTTTTTTACGCTATGCCCTAAAATAAATTAATTCATGGCCAGAATATTATATAATCTATATAGCCTAGCCTACAGGAATTTGATCAGTTAGGCCTACAGTTCATGCGAAAATATTCAGATCTGGTAAAAGGCCGACATTTGGTAATTCAAATTAGACAACAACAACAAAAAAAGACTCTTTGGAACATGACTATAGAAATTGAAACATTGTCATTTCAGCAGATGATCAACATCCATTTACGGATATTGGATCCAACAGCATAACTGTCTCTTCACTGGTGGTTATCGCAACATAGTGCAGGTAATACATTCAATTCAGTAATAGCCTTATATTTAGCTAATGAATGATGGGTTATTATGGATATATTTTTTAATGTTTTTAGAACATTCAAAGAGGGATGCAAGCTTGCTCGTTTGCTGCATGTAAAATACAGCAGCCAAAAAAACTTGCGGGGAGTTTGACCGAGAGAAAGATGGTGAATGCATTTAGCCGTTATTTATTCAGACCCATAACCATGCAATCCTCGTGAAGAGAAGAGAAGTGAATGCCGCTGGATCTTATTCTAGTCCGATATTATTCAAGGAGAAGGACAAAACGTATTTAATTTAACTGTTGAGCGGGAAGGAAGGAATGAAGTGAAAATAGAGAGGTGGCAATAAATAGGGCCTTGTGGGGATATATTCAGAAAAGTAACGAGTCAGTCGACTAATTATACAAATTTAAAATAGGCCCTATTATTATTCAAAATGAACAGAGTTGTTGGACACGTTTAAATGCATGTGGCAAATCTATATTCCATCTAATCCTACAATAATTGCTAGCAAATTTGATGACTTGATTTAGAAAATAAAATAACTTGAAACTTGACTTGGACCCTCAAGACTCGGGACTCGACTGATGACTTGAAATTATCTGTCCAGGTTTTGTAACGTTTTGTCACTCATTTTGTGGCGGTCTCTGTGGATGACTCTCCACACAGCCAGAGACAGTCGCCGCAGTAATCTCCCTTGCAAAAAAACGTGCAACGGATTGGCTAGTAAAAAACACACTTGGCCCTCTGATTGGACCAGCAAACTGTCGGGTGAGCTAGCAATTGATGATTTGCTGTACAGCTATAGGATCGGGTGTAGCGCAAACGTCAAATTGTACTCCCTAGGAGGATTGTCATAATAAATATGCAGCTCCAAAAATGGTTTGGTGATCAAGAATATTAACCGTTTACTTTGCAAGCTCTCCAGCAATTGGGCATCAAGCAACAATTACTAGCATAGGCCTACTGGTCTTTATGCATGTCAAAATTGCTTGAAATGTATCATTTACTTATGATCTATAGGATACACTTGCACCCTCCAAACTCTCGCCAGTGAAGAGCGCTTTGTTCGCTTGTTGAAATGTTTGCTGTTGCTTTCACACGTTTAAATGCATATGTGGCAAATCTATATTCCATCTAATCCTACAATAATTGCTAGCGTTTCAGCATTCCATCCCCGTACAGGTTATTCCAACACTTAGACATTTCTGTTTCATACGATACATTTTAAATCTACCATTTTTGAGTGGGCGCGATGTTTGTTGTGTACATGAACTTTCGTAAGTCTCATGAGGCAGAAGTTCTGTTTATTTAATTCTATGTATGGTTTCCTTTGTTCGTATTTCCCGGGTTATGTTGGAGTTCTGTGTGTCTGTGTCCTATAGGTCTGTCATTCTGGTTGTGCGTAATAGGAACGCGCACGCCTCAGTGCACATAGAAATAGGCTGCTTTAGAGTCTACGTTGAATAATTGGAGATTATTGTTCCATGTACGAATGGTGATGAAATTTCATTAGGCTAATAATAATCCTTAAGTCTATTAAGACGAATGTACCAATGTAACAATGGATGTGGAAATTACCTTACACATTGTAGAGCCAGTTTATTGGTTGTAATTGGGTAATTAATTGTATGGTCCTGGGAGGGGCCAATATGTACCTGTTTGAGTTCCTGTTAGACAGATTCGGTTTGGTTTCTCAAGGGGAGGCTGTGCAGTCTTGCCCTCTACCGGTTAAACCTGATACATTATTATTTCGGTCTATTGCCAGTGTATGGAAATATCGGAAATTGAAATCAATTGAACTATTAGAAGGTTGAAATAACTTTTCTCCCAGTTTTTTAGTTTTTTTATATGTTTTTAATTTTAAAAAGCCTATGACAGTAATTTTAGGCTATTCAATGATACTCCATTTATCTTCCGCTGCAGATAAAAACTAAAAAGACAACGACAATAGACACTATTAGAAATATCACTTTTTTTTTGAAATAGCAATCCACATGTGGTGGTTCCTGGGCTCTATAACTTACAATGTCTTTGTGATATTGTAGCAAAATATGAACAGAAATATGAATGCAACATGCAACAATTTAAACGATTTTACTGAGTCACAGTTCACGTAAGAAAATCAGTCAATTTAAATAAATTCATTAGGCCCTAATCTATGGGTTTCACATAAGATATGCATATGTTTGTCACAGATCAGAAAACCAGTCAGTATCTGGTGTGACCACCAATTTGCCTCATGCAGCACGACATCTCCTTCGCATAGAGTTGATCAGGCTGTTGATTGTGGCCTGTGGAATGTTGTCCCATTCCTATTCAATGGCTGTGCAAAGTTGCTGGATATTGGCGGGAACTGGAACACGCTGTCGTACACGTCGATCCAAAGCATCCCAAACATGCTCAGTGGGTGACATGTATGGTGAGTATGCAGGCCATGGAATGACAGACATTTTCAGCTTCTAGGAACTGTGTACAGATCCTTGCGACATGGCATGAGAATGGGCCTCAGGATCTAATCACTGTATCTCTGTGCATTCAAATTGCCATCGATAAAATGCAATCGTGCTCGTTGTCCGTAGCTTATGCCTGCCCATACCATAACCCCACCGCCACCATGGGGCACTCTGTTCACAACTTTGACATCAGCAAACCGCTCGCCCACACAACGCCATACACGTGGTCTGCCAAATTCTCTAAAACGACATTGGAGGTGGCTTATGGTAGAGAAATGAACATTCAATTCTCTGGCAACAGCTCTGGTGGACATTCCTGCAGTCAGCATGCCAATTGCACGCTCCCTCAAAACTTGGAGGCATCTGCGGCATTGTGTTGTGACAAAACTGCACATTTTAGAGTGGCCTTTTATTGTCCCCAGCACAAGGTGCACCTGTGTAATGATCATGCTGTTTAATCAGCTTCTTGATATGCCAAACCTGTCAGGTGGATGGATTATCTTGGCAAAGGAGAAATGCTCACTAACAGGGATGTAAACAAATTTGTGCACAACATTTAAGAGAAATAAGCTTTTTGTGCGTATGGAACATTTCTGGGATCTTTTATTTCAGCTCATGAAACATGAGACCAACACTTTACATGTTGCGTTTATATTTTTGTTCAGTATATATTGATTAAATTGTGTTATTATGTGTTAGCCTACAAGGTATATATTTTGGGTTGATATAAAACTGGTATTTTAAAATCTGTATTTTATTAGACAGCCTTCAGCTTTCATATAGTGAGTTTCCAACCCCTGCCGACGTGTTTGTGTGGGGGCAAGCGTGCACTGCAATTAAGTTATCTTTGGCTGACCCATCCGTGCAAAAATGTTGCGCTATGTGATACTGCTTCTGTGTGTCTGTGTCAGCATCACTGACCCGGTCCAGCATGCCCATGATGTACTTGGTGTCGGTGAAGGGGCCAATCTCATCGCAGCACTTCCCATAGACGATGGTGAGAGCCTGCAGGCACAGGCACTTCATGGTGACTTTAGGCGTGAGCAGGAAACGGTGGTAGAGCTCATTGAAGAACTCATACCTGAGAGAGAGAGAGAGAGAGAACTGTATTGATGTATGGACGGAGGGATATTGCGGTTTGAAACGTTTACTTTGGGAAAATGTAACAATTGAAACATTTAAATTTATGCCTTTCGATTGGATGCAAGAGCAACATTGTCATTAGATGGCTTAGACATGGCTGATCGTGTTGTAGGTAGCAGATGTCTTACGATCTCTTGATGGACCTCGACTCGTCCGTCCCATCCTCTTCCAGCAGCAGACGCAGGTAATAATCACCAATCTTGATCTCATCCGAAAGGCACTCGTACTTCACCTGCAACACACACACACAAACGCACACAACCCACACACACACGTCAGCTACCAATCCACATGCTGTGTTGATTAATGATCATATAATATGGTCGTAATTTGGTTTGACCCCTGACCTCAAACTCCTGGTGGTTCCAGGAGATGACGCTAGCGTTGCCCAGCTCGCGGTCCACGCCGAAGGCCCTCATCTCGCCCTCCAGAGCATCCCGCAGCTCCTCGCGTGTCTTCAGGTTCCAGATGAGGTTGGGCCGCGCGTGGTCCAACTGGAACCTGGGACACAGGAGAACCAGAGATAAAGACAGGACTACTTATCCAAAACCAAAAGAATAACTTTTCATGCATTGATTGAATTTATTTAATAATTTAAAGTAGAAGGCTGCTCCAGCTGAAGAAACATTACATACATGAAAAATGATCGCCGGAAAAAAAACCCCACAATAAAGCCTATAATAGTAAGAGAGACAGTAAGGAGGTCATTTTGTGAGTACGTGACCAAGTGTAGCTACCTGTAGTAGAAGAGCTCCCAGTTGGCTTCAATCTTGATCCTCTGTCTCCTCTTCCTCAGAATGACAGGCTTTTGATTGGGGTTCTGTAGTAGAGCAGCCAAGAACAATGTCAGTCAGTCACTAACTACTACACTTTCTCTCTGGGTTGTTGGACAACTGCTCTACATGAAAGGATGAGACAATGGGAGTGGAGGGGAAAAATGTATAGATACATATCGGAATATTTATTTATTTTATTTTTGTGACTAAATCTTTATAAATTGTTCTTGTTGGGGGGGGGGCTACATGCACAATACACTAATTCATCTAATTTAATATTTAGCTCGCATGAAAGAGCCAAAAAGTAACAAAACATTCAGTATTAAAAAAATGTTTTTAAAGAGAGCCTCCACCCCATTCGCCCCAACCCCACCCATCCAACATGTCTCCCTCCAACCAACCACCACCCAGAAGCCATGTTTTCCACCCCTTCCCACCTCCCCTAATGTTATAACTTCTAATAGCAACTGTATCGACTAGCGAATTGGGAGAGTGAGGTGATTGCCATCTGTCTGCCAGCAGTAATAGTCTCCGATTTATTGAGAGATTCAAGGAGCTATCGTTGTTAAGTAACATAGCAGATGCAAAGCATTGAATATTTACATTCATGCACTTAGAAATTATTCTTGTAACTTTGTTCCAGAAGCATTTAACAGTGATCGCTTACCTTGCCATATAAATTTAGAAACTGCACTATGGACTTTTTCCCAATAGCCAGAATGGGGAGACAAGGGAATCATTGAACTATAGAAATTCAGGCGTGGCAAATTATTAATTTTGACAATAGATATTCTGCAAGTTAAAGCAACTGGGATGTTAGTCCATCTACTGAGGTCGGATTGAATTCATTTGAGCGGTCTGTCAAAGTTTCTGACAATGGTTTTATCTAAGGAAGGAAATATATCTATTCCCAAATATTTAAAATGGGAAACGATTGGGATTCCATAAGTCTTGATAGGCAGTAGGGCAGATTTGGTTAGATTTATTTTATAACTTGAGATGGAGCTGAATTTGTCTATGATCTTCAAAGCGTTTGGGAGGGATTGAGATACATTGTCTAGATAAAGTAAGATATCGTCGGCGTACACCGAGTATACCAAACATTAGGAACACATTCCTAATATTGAGTTGCCCTCCGAACAGCCTCAATTCGTCGAGGAATGGACCAATATTGACTCCAATGCTTCCCACAGTTGTGTCAAATTGGCTGGATGTCCTTTGGGTGGTGGAGCATTCTTGATACACACGGGAAATACCCCCATTTAAAGGCACTTAAATCTTTTGTCTTGCCCATTCACCCTCAGTGGCACACATACACAATCCAGGTCTTAATTGTCTCAAGGCTTAAAAATCATTCTTTAACCCGTCTCTTCCCCTTCATCTACACTGTGGATTTAACAAGTGACATCAATAAGGGATCATAGCTTTCACCTGGATTCACCTGGCAGAGGTGAGATGGGATCACCCTGCCTGCTACTTGTAGTTATTCTGAACGGAACAGAGCAGGTATTGCCTGTTATTACTATGTCTGAGGGATTGGCATATAATATTTAAATCACATTAATGAAAATTGGAGCCAAGTCCCATATGTTCCAACACCGACCAAAGATATGACCATTCTAGTCTATCAAAAGCTTTTTCTGCGTCGAGAGATAGAACTGCCCTAGGAGCTTAGGTTTCTGATGAAGCATGTAATGGAGATTATCTGAGGATAATCTTTTTTTAACAAATCCGCTTTGGTCCAGATGTACCAATTTGGGTAAGTTTCGAGATGGGATGACAGAATTTTAGAAAATAGTTTATCAAAGATAGAAGGCAATAGTGAGAGCACTGGGTGGCGTCATTAACCTTTTTTAAATAAAAGCGAAATTAGTGCTGTATTTACATCCCTTCCAAATGAACCTTTGTGAACGGCTGTGTTGATAATTTGAAGTAACAGAGGACCTAATACAATTTTAAATAGACCTCAGGAGGAATACTGTCACAACCAGGTGATTAGCCTTTATTCATGTATCCAATGCCCTTCTGGCTTCATAGAAAGAGAGTTGGGCTCTCTGCAAGCCGGCTTCCTCCGTTGAGAGAAGAGGAGTTCTAATATCTTTTTAAAAAGACTTGATCTGACTTGGTGTGGATTTACAAAACAGAGGTGTACAATTCGTTATAGAAAAGGGAGAATCTTTGGTTGATTATTTTAGGTTCTGATAGTAATTCACCTGATTCGGATTCAATAGTTGCAATATCCGCTAATTGATCATTACTGCAAAGCTTGTTTGCCAGTAGACAATATTATTTTTGACGATATATCGTATCGACAATGTCGCAATATTATTTTTGCGCTAGTTGGCTGTACCTGCCCCAAAACTGCAGTGTTTTTCCTTCATAGCTTGTTCTCCATCTTCTTTTTATGTAGGGAGCCAATTTATTTTCAGCACTTTTATTTCTATGACTGATCAAAACTAGTTCTCATGGCTCCATCTTGTCCCTCTGCAGCAGACATGTGGTGAGCAATATGTTTGGAACATCGAATCGCAATAAAATCACAGTATCGAATCTCAATACATATAGAAACGTGAGAATAGCAATACATATCGTATCGGCACATAAGTATCGTGATAATATCCTATCGTGAGGTCCCTGGCAATTCCCAGCCCTAGTATTGAATGGCGTGTACTTTATCTATCCCCTGTGGACAGATGTTATTATATATATATATATATATATATATATATATATACACAGTGGGGGAAAAAAGTATTTAGTCAGCCACCAATTGTGCAAGTTCTCCCACTTAAAAAGAGGAGAGAGGCCTGTAATTTTCATCATAGGTACACGTCAACTATGACAGACAAATTGAGGGGGAAAAAATCCAGAAAATCACATTGAAGGATTTTTTATGAATTTATTTGCAAATTATGGTGGAAAATAAGTATTTGGTCACCTACAAACAAGCAAGATTTCTGGCTCTCACAGACCTGTAACTTCTTCTTTAAGAGGCTCCTCTGTCCTCCACTCGTTACCTGTATTAATGGCACCTGTTTGAACTTGTTATCAGTATAAAAGACACCTGTCCACAACCTCAAACAGTCACACTCCAAACTCCACTATGGCCAAGACCAAAGAGCTGTCAAAGGACACCAGAAACAAAATTGTAGACCTGCACCAGGCTGGGAAGACTGAATCTGCAATAGGTAAGCAGCTTGGTTTGAAGAAATCAACTGTGGGAGCAATTATTAGGAAATGGAAGACATACAAGACCACTGATAATCTCCCTCGATCTGGGGCTCCACGCAAGATCTCACCCCGTGGGGTCAAACTGATCACAAGAACGGTGAGCAAAAATCCCAGAACCACACGGGGGGACCTAGTGAATGACCTGCAGAGAGCTGCGACCAAAGTAACAAAGCCTACCATCAGTAACACACTACGCCGCCAGGGACTCAAATCCTGCAGTGCCAGACGTGTCCCCCTGCTTAAGCCAGTACATGTCCAGGCCCGTCTGAAGTTTGCTAGAGTGCATTTGGAGAATGTCATATGGTCAGATGAAACCAAAATATAACTCTTTGGTAAAAACTCAACTCGTCGTGTTTGGAGGACAAAGAATGCTGAGTTGCATCCAAAGAACACCATACCTACTGTGAAGCATGGGGGTGGAAACATCATGCATTGGGGCTGTTTTTCTGCAAAGGGACCAGGACAACTGATCCGTGTAAAGGAAAGAATGAATGGGGCCATGTATCGTGATATTTTGAGTGAAAACCTCCTTCCATCAGCAAGGGCATTGAAGATGAAACGTGGCTGGGTCTTTCAGCATGACAATGATCCCAAACACACCGCCCGGGCAACGAAGGAGTGGCTTCGTAAGAAGCATTTCAAGGTCCTGGAGTGGCCTAGCCAGTCTCCAGATCTCAACCCCATAGAAAATCTTTGGAGGGAGTTGAAAGTCTGTGTTGCCCAGTGACAGCCCCAAAACATCACTGCTCTAGAGGAGATCTGCATGGATGAATGGGCCAAAATACCAGCAACAGTGTGTGAAAACCTTGAAGACTTACAGAAAACGTTTGACCTGTGTCATTGCCAACAAAGGGTATATAACAAAGTATTGAGAAACTTTTGTTATTGACCAAATACTTATTTTCCACCATAATTTGCAAATAAATTCATAAAAAATCCTAAAATGTGATTTTCAGGATTTTTTTCCCTCATTTTGTCTGTCATAGTTGACGTGTACCTATGATGAAAATTACAGGCCTCTCTCATCTTTTTAAGTGGGAGAACTTGCACAACCGGTACATATTACTTCAACTACCTCAACTAGCCGGTGCCCCCGCACATTGACTCTGCACCGGTACCCCCCTGTATATATAACCTCCCTACTGTTATTTTATTTTACTTCTGCTCTTTTTTTTCTCAACACTTTTTTTGTTGTTGTTTTATTTTTACTTTTTTTGTTAAAAATAAATGCACTGTTGGTTAAGGGCTGTAAGTAAGCATTTCACTGTGATGTCTGCACCTGTTGTATTCGGCGCATGTGACCAATAAAATTTGATTTGATTTGACTAAATACTTTTTTCCCCCACTGTATACATACACACACACACACACACACACACACACACACACACACACACACACACACACACACACAGTGGGGAGAACAAGTATTTGATACACTGCCGATTTTGCAGGTTTTCCTACTTACAAAGCATGTAGAGGTCTGTAATTTTTAAAACAAAAATCCAGAAAATCACATTGTATGATTTTTAAGTAATTAATTTGCATTTTATTGCATGACATAAGTATTTGATCACCTACCAACCAGTAAGAATTCCAGCTCTCACAGACCTGTTAATTTTTCTTTAAGAAGCCCTCCTGTTCTCCACTCATTACCTGTATTAACTGCACATGTTTGAACTCGTTACCTGTATAAAAGACACCTGTCCACACACTCAATCAAACAGACTCCAACCTCTCCACAATGGCCAAGACCAGAGAGCTGTGTAAGGACATCAGGGATAAAATTGTAGACCTGCACAAGGCTGGGATGGGCTACAGGACAATAGGCATGCAGCTTGGAGGAAGAAGAAGGATGAGTACAACCACAAGAACACCATCCCAACCGTGAAGCATGGAGGTGGAAACATCATTCTTTGGGGATGCTTTTCTGCAAAGGGGACAGGACGACTGCACCGTATTGAGGGGAGGATGGATGGGGCCATGTATCGCGAGATTTTGGCCATCAACCTCCTTCCCTCAGTAAGAGCATTGAAGATGGGTCGAGGCTGGGTCTTCCAGCATGACAACGACCCGAAACACACAGCCAGCGCAACTAAGGAGTGGCTCCGTAAGAATCATCTCAAGGTCCTGGAGTGGCCTAGCCAGTCTCCAGACCTGAACCCAATAGAAAATCTTTGGAGGGAGCTGAAAGTCCGTATTGCCCAGCGACAGCCCCGAAACCTGAAGGATCTGGAGAAGGTCTGTATGGAGGAGTGGGCCAAAATCCCTGCTGCAGTGTGTGCAAACCTGGTCAAGACCTACAGGAAACGTATGATCTCTGTAATTGCAAACAAAGGTTTCTGTACCAAATATTAAGTTCTGCTTTTCTGATGTATCAAATACTTATGTCATGCAATAAAATGCAAATTAATTACTTAAAAATCATACAATGTGATTTTCTGGATTTTTGTTTTAGATTCCATCTCTCACAGTTGAAGTGTACCTATGATAAAAATTACAGACCTCTACATGCTTTGTAAGTAGGAAAACCTGCAAAATCGGCAGCGTATCAAATACTTGTTCTCCCCACTGTATGTGTGTGTGTGTGTATATATATATATAGTAAGTTTTTCACAAATAAATGTTTTACTGTATTAATGAATTCAAATGGACGGACAACGTTTAATGTCACCGACCACCAGGTGAAAAATACTGTGATGATAACAAACACCAACAAAAACACACAACCTTTGACATAAACAGTGACAAAAATCTAAATACAGAGATGGGATCCCACAACATGTTGCATGAACTCTAAATGACTGACAGGTAAAAGAGGGAGGGGTCAAGAGGGTGGAAGAGGGGTTCCCATTGGTCAGTTCTACTTACCGGGTTATTTCTGTCCTGCTGCATTTGATTGACAGCCGAGAACCACAACAGACAAGAGGGGGTGGGTGGGGCAAGAGACAACAGAGAGAGATTATTGGTCCTCAGTCGGATCAAACAGAGATGCTTCTCAATAAAGTTAGGTCAAAGGTCATCTGCATCATTATCAAAATCTTTATCGACAAAAACAGTACGATTCACCACCTTATGCAATGATATATATATATATATATATATATATTTTTTTTACTATATAATCAAATTAATAATAATTAAATACAAATCACAACAGTTGTGGTAGTGATTGAGTGTTTGTGTTGGCAGATAAAGGAAAGAAATGTAAATTAAATGATTGATTTGAGCTGGAATCACCTATACCCACAGTAAGCCATTAACAACTGTCTCATTCAGAATCCGCACTAATAAGTTCCTATTTATCTTAGTACCTAGACGAAGAAAAACTAGTGTAGTGCGAGAAAATCCCAGGAAAACCCCAGTGATGGCCATATTATTATATAGTATAGGTGAACTTCGGTTTGTGGCAGCGTCGTGGCCCAGTTGATAGAAAAGGTGATTCGATTAAAGACTTGAAGCGGAGCCAGAGCAGCGAGGCAGCTGTGACCCCATACAGGACAGGAGGGCAGAGAGTCTTCTGTTAATGACTGACCCAGTCATATGGTCTGCTCTACTCAAGAACACACATTAGTCCTAACAAGACATCTAATTTACCGTTTTTGCTACCGCACAACACTAACTATGTTACTGTAAATGCTTGCATTACATTCTGTCACCATAACGCACAGGGTTACTCAATCAGTGGCATCATTCATACACTTAGTTGCCCAAAGTAGAAGTCATAACTGCACCAACAGTTTTAATAGAAATCCCAATACACTTTAAAAAGATCTCTGTGGATCCCTCTGACACATGTAGACAAGCGTAGACACCACACATGAAGTAAGCGGCGCATATCTGCTCAGCGGCGTCAAAAACAGCATAGCAAAGGGTTTGTTCGAATGTGGTTCAAAAACAACAGGTTGCCCGAGTGTCTCCCCGAAGCCAGGTAATGGCAAAGCTGCTGGATGCTAGCCATGCTAACTGGTACTACAGTACCTGGACCAGTCCAGCAGACAGATATGGACGCAGTAGAGTGTGACTCGGGAGTCTACAATACCACTCAGCGCCAGCAGAAGGAGCAAGAGCCAGCGGAGCCAGAATGAGGGCATCACCAATAGAGCTACTGGCCCAGAATGGAGCCCCTGAATGGGGGGAGAAAAGCGAGCAGTGAGTCCCTCCTCACCTCCTTCTGGGCAATGCCCATCTTGTCCCTCCAGTGCATCAGCACGATGTCGGCCTTCTCCTTGGCAAACTTCTCCACCTCTTTGGCTGCTTTGCCCGCCACCCGCTGCCAGTCAGGCACCTTTTGCCGACCAAACTGGTCCTGTAGTGGACAAACGGGGAAAAATATACAGTACTGTTAACATACAAGCACACATTAATTTCTAAAGGTACCACAATAGAGTATGGAGTGGGTAAAGGGGAATCTGGGCTAGTGTCGCTACAACAGATTACCGTGGCGATCTTGACGTTGTCTCGGATGTGCATCCTGTCCACGTCTTTCTCCGGGACTGGATCAGGGCTGTCCAGGTACGCCAGCAGCCCCGTCGGCTGAGGGTGGGAGAGATGGAGAGAGAGTAAAAGATGGAGAGACTGTACACAATATCAAGTTCCCTGCCCCTGACAGTATGGATGGTACACAAGTGAATTGCCTGAACACCTGTCTGGAGCCTCACCAGTATTCTCTTGAGGAGGTTCATGGCGATGGGGTTCTCTGCTGTCCACAGGCCCACAAGGTGACGACTTAGCTGCCTGTGGGAAAACAGTTAAAAACCATGAGTGAGTTTGTCAGAATCCTAAATTGAGATAAGGATGCGTAATTTGGACTTTTGAGTAAATCATGCATGGATGTTATGGGAGATGTGTGTATAAATCGGAAGTAAACTGATTTCGACCGAATGTCCTTTACCTGTTGGTGAGCATCCTCTGGTCTGAGCTGATTGTGAACATGGAGGTGTGTAGGTGTCTGGGCAGGGCCCCCTCACTCAGAGCCAGCTCCTGCATCTTAGTGGCTATCTCCTTATCCCCCTCCTAATAAACAAAACAAATATTCTTCTTGATCATCATAATCATCACCAATATCATTAGCAATATAATCATCAAAATTCACCTCTTTTCCATATCAAGACCTGCTCCCCCAGCCTCACCTCAATGATGGCCTTCATGACCAGGCCTGCTCCCTTCACAATGGCCATAGAGGGGTGCTAAAAACAAAAAGAGAAACTCACTGAGACTGTTAAATGGGTCACATCAAAACAGATAGTCACACATACAGTGGGGAGAACAAGTATTTGATACACTGCCGATTTTGCAGGTTTTCCTACTTACAAAGCATGTAGAGGAAGACCCAGCCTCGACCCATCTTCAATGCTCTTACTGAGGGAAGGAGGTTGATGGCCAAAATCTCGCGATACATGGCCCCATCCATCCTCCCCTCAATATGGTGCAGTCGTCCTGTCCCCTTTGCAGAAAAGCATCCCCAAATAATGATGTTTCCACCTCCATGCTTCACGTTTGGGATGGTGTTCTTGGGGTTGTACTCATCCTTCTTCTTCCTCCAAACACAGCGAGTGGAGTTTAGACCAAAAAGCTCTATTTTTGTCTCATCAGACCACATGACCTTCTCCCATTCCTCCTCTGGATCATCCAGATGGTCATTGGCAAACTTCAGATGGGCCTGGACATGCGCTGGCTTGAGCAGTGGGACCTTGCGTGCGCTGCAGGATTTTAATCCATGACGGCGTAGTGTGTTACTAATGGTTTTCTTTGAGACTGTGGTCCCAGCTTTCTTCAGGTCATTGACCAGGTCCTGCCGTGTAGTTCTGGGCTGATCCCTCACCTTCCTCATGATCATTGATGCCCCACGAGGTGAGATCTTGCATGGAGCCCCAGACCGAGGGTGATTGACCGTCATCTTGAACTTCTTCCATTTTCTAATAATTGCGCCAACAGTTGTTGCCTTCTCACCAAGCTGCTTGCCTATTGTCCTGTAGCCCATCCCAGCCTTGTGCAGGTCTACAATTTTATCCCTGATGTCCTTACACAGCTCTCTGGTTTTGGCCATTGTGGAGAGGTTGGAGTCTGTTTGATTGAGTGTGTGGACAGGTGTCTTTTATACAGGTAACGAGTTCAAACAGATGCAGTTAATACAGGTAATGAGTGGAGAACAGGAGGGCTTCTTAAAGAAAAACTAACAGGTCTGTGAGAGCCGGAATTCTTAATGGTTGGTAGGTGATCAAATACTTATGTCATGCAATAAAATGCAAATTAATTACTTAAAAATCATACAATGTGATTTTCTGGATTTTCTGATTCCGTCTCTCACAGTTGAAGTGTACCTATGATAAAAATTACAGACCTCTACATGCTTTGTAAGTAGGAAAACCTGCAAAATCGGCAGTGTATCAAATACTTGTTCTCCCCACTGTACCTTATACTGTATACAAAGACAACGCCTTTTTTTCTTTTCCATTTGTCTTCGTTTTACCCACCTCCACCACACCTTTCACACTCTTTCTTTAAGCGTTTTTCCTTAAAAATCAACAATCCTCCCATCATTTCCCCTTTCTCTTAGTCTTAGCTTGAAATCCAAACTAAAACGGAGCATACCCGTTGGATTCCATACTACCATTCTCTCACCCTTCCTAGCTACCTGGAAGAGTTTGAAGAGGGTGCGCCCGTTGGAGGCCACCATCTCCAGCAGCATATCAAACTGCTGGCCCTCGCTGGTCTCGCTGTAGGGGGCGCACAGGGCAAAGGTCAGGAAGTCCAGCAGTGAGCTGATCACCAGTGCCCCTGTGCCGTGGTCCTGGAGAGAGGGAGGGTAGAGAAGGGGAAGAAGAATAAAAGAGTGTAAAGGAGACTGTCAATAACGAAGCAAGATGGCTTCCTTTGGTTGAAAAAAATTAATGTATGCACTCACTAACTGTAAGTCGCTCTGGATAAGAGCGTCTGTTAAATGACTAAAATGTAAATGTTGACTGCTGGGTTTCGGCACGACCAACAAAAAAGGTTAGTAGAGGTTGAGGCTGACACACGTACCACGTTGCTGACAAACTTCTCTAGAAGGTTCTCCAGGAATTTCTTGGACGACATCAGGGAGGCCTTGTTCAGTTGCTCCTGACGCAGGTCGTAGTCATCGTGCATCGGCTACAAATAAAAATTGCTATTCAATTTAAATTGTGCAGTACCAAAAGCAGTCACATTCTCTGTACCGTCATGTCGCCACAATAATATTGTGTGTAAGATGGTCTGTGTGTGTGCGCTTTCAGTACCTGCTCAAATGGCACTTACACACATAAGAGCACAGAGCATGTCTATGGCGCCGTGTGTCACGCCGTTGTTGTTCCTCTTCAGAGCTTTCACTGTTTTCACCCCCAACTTCTCACGGAACCTGCAACACACACACACACACACACACACACACACACACACACACACACACACACAGATTAAACTAGACCGAGACTCACTCATTCATTTCATTGACATGATAGGGATACAAGGGGGAGTCATTGGAAATTCAAAAAGGGCCTCATATTTGATATACAAATATCATTTTAAAAGGGGTCTGGGAGTTCATTCTCAATTCCACAGGAACAAAGAATAGAAATACGCATCCTCTCATACATCTCAGTGACCCCGGAGGAGAGAGAGACAGTGTCCTGGATATATGCGAGAGAGAGAGAGAGAGACCCTGATCGAGAGAGAAATAAAGACAGAAAGAGATAAGCACACACAGGCAGACAGAGGTGGAGAAGAGAGATGGACGGATGGCATCACTTCTCTTTTGCTCTCCCAGTGTATGACACACATGAAATGAGAAAGGAGAGCAGACAGCCAGACAGACAGATAGCAGGCCAGACAGACTGCAGGCCAGAGAGACAGACAGAGACAAGCAAACAGACAAAGATCGTCAGCGGCAGACAGACAGATACAGAGCAAACAGACAGAGGCAGACAGACAGACGTAGTCAGTCAGTGAGTCAGACAGAGAGAGGAGGAGGTCAGACAGACAGAGGCAGAGAGAGAGGGCAAACAGACAGAGAGTGCAGACAGACAGACCCTGAGAGACAGTCAGACAGAGGGCACACAGACAGAGAGGGCAGACTGAGATGTATGGATTCATATTTACGTTCCATCTGTGAATCCAGACCCTTGACCAGACCTTGGAATGACAGAGCATGTCTGTTACCTACACGCTTACCACAACACTACTACACAACACTGCATAGCAATAACTATCAGTAGGAGAGGGGGATGGAAAGAGGAAATGGATGTAGCAGAGGTGGGGAGTGGTGAAGAGCACAATTAGACAGTCAGAGCTTTGAAGGAGGGAGAGAGGGGTAGTGAGAGGAGAGACGGAAAGTCAGGAAGAAAGGGTAGCAGTGTGTGTGTGTGTGCGCGTTGAGGCCTTACTTGGGCAGCTGTGTGAAGGCCTGGAAACCTGCCTTGGAGGCCACGAGGCGTCGGATGGCGTGAAAGTGGCTCTCCAGCTCGGCGTTGGGGCCTGGCAGCTCACACTCCTGGGACAGCAGGGCCAAGATGGCGTTGCTGATCAGCTTCTCCTTGTTCTCCGAAAACAGACCCTGAGAGACGGGCGGAGGAAAGGAGCGTTAAGGTAGGTCTAATACACAGACAGACAGACAGACACACACACTCTCTTTGGTAGGTTTGAACACACTCACGTCTTGGGTGACAGCATGCAGCACGCCACTGTAGGATACGTTAGCATTGAATCTGAACACTGCGTCTGCAAAGTTTCCATCTGAGGGAGACAGACAGAGACACTGAGTCAAACTACAGTTCTCATCGAGCCTGAAAATTAAAGCCTAAGCCCGGTCCGACATTACATTATTTATTTTTTTGTGATCCAATTGACATTTTAGTCATTTAGCAGACACTCTTATCCAGAGCGACTTACAATTAGTGAGTGCATAAATTTTTCATACTGGCCCCCCGTTACATAAATTAAATGAGGCCAATACCCGAAAAGGGCAGATTTCTAGAAAACAATATATTGATTTAAGCTGGTGTTGAGAACAATGCGGAGAAGAGGAAACTGCCCTTGGGCCTAGAAAAAACTCAAGAGAGGAAAACTCACCTTAAAATATTGGAATAAAGTAAGCTAATGTAATTAAAGATATGGATCATTATGTTGCTTTAACTGAAACTCCCAAAGTCATATCCAACCGTTATACAAATGTAAAGCAATAGTCATGTGTGGTCACCTAGATGATCATCTCAACACTGTTTTGATTGGGACAGCATCATTCCCTTTTCTTTATTTTTTACCAGGTAAGTTGACTGAGAACACATTCTCATTTACAGCAACGACCTGGGGAGAAGTTTCAGGGCAGCGAATGAGCCAAGCTGGTTTGAGACAAGCGTGGGGGAAAATTTTGATAAATAAAATCAATGTCAGATTTTTGTTTTCACTGAATCTCCGTTTGGATATTTGGTAGGGATGTAATGATTCATCGATAAGTATCGGTCCCTGATTGAAATGTTTAAGAGCATCAGTCCGCAAATCCCAAACCGATCCAAATGTAGCATGCATCGGTCAGAAAATCGACTCAAACATGACGAATCGCCGGTTCACATTTATTTTTTATTTTTATATTACATTCTTTCTACCTTCTGAAAATACCTCATCTTTTGTGACAACTGATGCGTCCTCACCTTCAGTGTCAAACTAAGCATGTAACGGTGTTGACAGGTAATTTTGTATACCCCAGGCAAGATCCGTAGCCTACTGTAGTCAAACTGCGCACTGTGCCCAGCTTCACGCACTGACCAAAGCCAAGTAGGCGGCCTGATCTTGCACATCTGCGCGGTACCTTCAGCATTCAAATGTTAATACACATACATACATACACACACATATATACACATATATATATATATATATATATATATATATATATATATACAGTGCCTTGGGAAAGTGTTCAGACCCCTTGACTTTTTCCACATTTTGTTACGTTACAGCCTTATTCTAAAATGGATAACAAACATAAAAATCCTCAGCAATCTACACACAATACCCCATAATGACAAAGCGAAAACAGGTTTTTAGAAATGTTTGCAAAGTTATTAAAATAAAAAACAGAAATACCTTATTTACATAAGTATTCAGACCCTTTGCTATGAGACTCGAAATTGAGCTCAGCCGCATCCTGTTTCCATTGATCATTCTTCAGATGTTTCTACAACTTGGGAGTCCACCTGTGGTAAATGCAATTGATTGGACATGATTTGGAAAGGCACACACCTGTCTATATAAAAGGTCCCACAGTTGACAGTGCATATCAGAGCAAAAACCAAGCCATGAGGTCGAAGGAATTGTCCGTAGAGCTCCGAGACAGGATTGTGTCGAGGCACAGATATGGGGAACGGTACCAACAAAATTCTGCAGCATTGAAGGTCCCCAAGAACACAGTGGCCATCATCAGTTCACCTTCCAACAGGACAATGACCCTAAGCACACAGCCAAGACAACGCAGGAATGGCTTCGGGACAAGTCTCTGAATGTCCTTAAATGGCCCAGCCGGAGCCCGGACTTGAACCCGATCGAACATCTCCGGAGAGACATGCAAATAGCTGTGAAGCAACGCTCCCCATCCAACCTGACAGAGCTTGAGTTCCCACATATGCTTAGCACTTGTTGGCTGTTTTTCCTTCACTCTGCGGTCCAACTCATCCCAAACCATCTCAATTGGGTTGAGGTCGGGGGATTGTGGAGGCCAGGTAATCTGATGCAGCACTCCATCAATCTCCTTCTTGGTCAAATAGCCCTTATACAGCCTGGAGGTGTGTTTTGGGTCATTGTCCTGTTGAAAAACAAATAATAGTCCCACTAAGATCCTCCGTTCACCTACTCTGCGTCTCACAAAGACATGGCGGTTGGAACTAAAAATCTCCAATTTGGACTCATCAGACCAAAGGACAGACTTCCACCAGTCTAATGTCCTTTGCTTGTGTGTCTTGTCCCAAGCAAGTCCCTTAGTAGTGGTTTCTTTGCAGCAATTTGACCATGAAGGCCTGGTTCACACAGTCCCCTCTGAACAGTTGATGTTGAGATGTGTCTGTGACTTGAACTCTGTGAAGCATTTATTTGGGCTGCAATTTCTGAGGCTGGTAACTCTAATGAACTTATCCTCTGCAGCAGCGGTAACTCTGGGTCTTCCATTCCTGTGGTGGTCCTCATGAGAGACAGTTTCATAATAGCACCTGATGGTTTTTGCGACTGCACTTGAAGAAACATCAGTTCTTGAAATGTTCCGTATTGACTGACCTTCATGTCTTAAAGTAATGATGGACTGTCGTTTCTCTTTGCTTATTTGAGTTGTTCTTGCATAATATGGACTTAGTCTTTTACCAAATAGGGCTATCTTCTGTATACCCCACTACCTTGTCACAACACAACTGATTGGCTCAATCGCATTAAGAAGGAAAGAAATTCCACAAATTAACTTTTAAGAAGGCACACCTGTTAATTGAAATGCATTCCAGGTGACTACCTCATGAAACTGGTTGAGAGAATGCCAAGAGTGTGCAAAGCTGTCATCAAGGCAAAGGGTGGCTATTTGAAGAATCTCAAATATAAAATATAGTTGGATTTTTTTAACACTTTTTTGTTTACTACATGATTCCATATGTGTTATTTCGTAGTTTTGATGTCTTCACTATTATTCTACAATGTAGAAAATAGTACAAATAAAGAAAAACCCTTGAATGAGTGGGTGTGTCCAAACCTTTGACTGGTACTGTATGTCAGCATGCTAGAGATGACTTGCATTTGTTCTAAGAGACACCTTATATGAACTTCCTCATAGCAGTGAATGCAGGCTTTATTAGGCATCTCTGCTCTTCCTTGGATCTCACACCACCTGTCTTATGCAGCTGGAACAATTCTCCCTCATCCCTCGAAAAACACTTTTCATGTCACGGCCCATTTTTAACAAGACAGTATGCTCAAGTGAAGCACTTAGTGCTCAAGTGAGAAGTGATGTGTGAAATGGATACGCCAGTGTTGTGAGATGGTGAGGGGAAGTTCACTGTGGGCTGTAGTGACAGAGTGTATCAAATACTTGTTCTCCCCACTGTACATCATTTACACACAAACACACACACTCAGACAGACAGACACACTCAGACAGACAGACAGACAGACACACTCAGACAGACAGACAGACAGACACACTCAGACAGACAGACACTCAGACAGACAGACACACTCAGACAGACAGACACACTCAGACAGACAGACACACTCAGACAGACAGACACACTCAGACAGACAGACACAATATTTGGTAACCATTAGGCTGGGGAAATGTTAGCTAAGTTGAGGTGAGTGCTCAGGATCATCTTTATTCTAGTTTGCTGATATATTAGCTGGTCAGAACATTTTGCTAGCATGTTATGTAGCTTAACAAGTGGATTTTCCTCTTCATTCGCATAGTCATCCTACTCCTGACCAAAAGCCTGCGTCTTGTCTGATAATCAATCAATGTGCTTCTCCTGATTCTGAGCTGCGCTGCCTGTCGTGGTCTTGTGGATCATCATTCTCACTCCAGCATATTTGTATCGCAATTTGAAACATGGCCACAAATTTCTCTGGCCAATATCTGAATCCTGGCCCCGCTAGGGCCCCCAGCGGTTGCAGCTGAGAGAGCTGTATTAGGCTAAAAAGTGCACAGACACGCTCAGTTTTTCTTTAACACATCACGGCACGCCGGAAACCCGCCCAGCCTGAATCAATTCACAGAATTTGAGGCAGTCGGGCCCCGTCGGGTTCGGCCTGAGAATGAGAACTCTAAGTCAAACCCTCAATCCTTTAGAGATACAATATTCAACTGGCCATTTCAGGGTTGTATTCATTAGGGCACACCTTAGCAAAATGTTTTGTAACTGAAAACAAAAATGAGCGATTCCAATTGGACAAGCTCAGGTAGTACCTCCCAGTTTAACTCAGTTTTCTTCCATTTAGTGCCTACTGAACACACCCCAGGTCAAATATCAAACCTGTGATAGGGGTGTCACTCACTAGGAGGTGCTGCTAGGAATTTGAGGTGCAGGCTCTCCACTTCCTCGTCCACGGGCATACTCATTAGGCCCCAGCGCTGGCCCCGCTGGGTGGGGGCCATCTTCACACACACGTCCCTGTTCCCCGACGCACGCACCCCGTCCAGCAGGCTGGCCATCAGGGAGTCCCTAAACACACGTACACATCGAATTAAGTCACTGGAGAGAGACAAGTATATGCAGATATGACGCACACACACATAGACGATAAATAAAAAGACAGTGATGCAGGATAGGGAAATATATTACATACTGTACGAGCAGGGTGCGAATGGAAACAGGGGAGGGCAAATATGACATTTGCCATTATAGAGCTGTTTTGTGCTGTACCTGTCTGTGGAGCAGTACTTCCTGATCTGGCCTCTGATGAACTCTATGGTGAACACCTGGGGGTTCTCCACATCGCAGATGAGCGCAAACACCTGCGCACGCACACACACACAGTTTACTGCAAATTACACTAACACAACGGTGCTTCAGTGCAATTTACTTGAAAAAGACAAACATGGCATTTAAAGAGCCTGAGGCAGAGGTCAGGTCATAGAAATAGAATGAATAGAACAGAACATTTCTGAAATCCACATTATAACACATCAAGGAAAATGGAGACTTCTACCAACTCTATGGGTCAGCCCCAGTGTTTGTGTAGGAATTGTAGCAGCCACCCACCTCTCCAAAGGGCTTGACGGTGACTACGTTGTAGGAGGCTGGGTCTCTCTCCACCAGACATGTCTCTGTCAGGCACAGGATCCTCTTGATGGGCTCCTGCCAGGGACAAACAGCACAAGAGAAGTTAGTCTCAAGTTGATAAGGGCCATTTGACTACAAAGCAAATGTCCATCTCGATGTCCTAATAAAGTCAAAATCTCCTCATAAAAAGATCAACAGGTCAAATAAACAGGTCATTTATAAAAGTAATTGAAAGAACAATAGTGATAGCAGTTAGAGATTCTGACCGAGTGGCGCGGGGAGACCTTCTGCACCACAAACTCTGCCAGGGAGGTTATGCACTCGTCCGAGCCGTACTTCCCAAGTCGGTCCATCACAAAGTCCTCGAAGGTCAGTGGGTCCTTACGCAGCCGCAGCGTGATGCCAATGAAGTTGCCCGCATGCTCAATGGCACTTTTGATGATCTCGTCCCGATGCTCTGAGGCAAACAGGTGCTGAGGGGGTTGGGGAGAGGGGCATAGATGGGGGAGATAGAGAGGAAGTTGGGGAGGTGGAGAGAGAGAGGGATGGGATAGGGGGAGAGACGGAGAAGGATGTCAGGAAAGAGAGAGGGATGGGAAGGTGGAGAAAGAGGGATGGGAAGGTGGAGAAAGAGGAATGGGAAGGTGGAGAAAGAGGAATGGGAAGGTGGAGAAAGAGGGATGGGAAGGTGGAGAAAGAGGGATGGGAAGGTGGAGAAAGAGGGATGGGAAGGTGGAGAAAGAGGGATGGGAAGGTGGAGAAAGAGGGATGGGAAGGTGGAGAAAGAGGGATGGGAAGGTGGAGAAAGAGGGATGGGAAGGTGGAGAAAGAGGGATGGGGAAGGTGGAGAAAGAGGGATGGGAAGGTGGAGAAAGAGGGATGGGAAGGTGGAGAAAGAGGGATGGGAAGGTGGAAAGAGAATGCAATAAAAACAGTATGTGAGTCAGTCCTGGACAGTGGAATTTCTCAAGGGAATAAACACATATTTTCACACAGACAATTAAACAAGCCTTTAGAGACTCAGATGCACACGTACACCCTACCCCCCAGGTACGTACCAGGCGGCTGAAGCCCCCATGGAGGATGCAGAAGCCCCCCTGGTAGTCGTTCACCTCTGCGAAGCCCTCCACAGAGCGGTAGTCGTAGGAGCACACCACCCGGTTGGTCTGGGGGTCGATCTGGTCGATTCCCCCCGGGGTCACCTCCAGGCTCACCAATTTCCGTGTATCGCTCCAGTGGTGCTTGTAACAGTTGTAGCGCTGGCGGGAGGGACACACATGTTAACAAAGTGGACAAAACTGGTCATGGCATCACGGCATGATATAGCTCTGGTCCAGGGCGTTACGTGCAGCTTGGGGAAGGCTCAGCATCAACAAGCCGCACATACAGTAACACCCCGGACCAGAGATAGGCGTGATAACGCTTAGAGAGCTATCAGACATTCAAACACAAACCAATCAAACTGACAAAGTCCATTGTTACCCCTCACAACTAATGGATATAGAAAGTGAACCACTATGCAAGACCCTGCTTTAAGAAAATATGAAGATATTCGTTATGTCTGTGCCTGGCTGCCCTTTTAAAAACATAGTGCACTGTTCCAAATGGCACCCTATTCCCAATGTAGTGCAGTACTTTTGACCAGGGCCTTTAAGGAATAAGGTGCCATTTGAGACGCAACCATAGTGCTTCTCTTTGATGAGATCACCAGGAAGTTGTATTGATCTGTGCTGTAGATGAAAGTCACCCTTAGGGGAGCGCGCGAGCAGCTGCTCTATTCCAACCTCTCTCTCCCAGGGAAATGGGATTGTGCTGATGGAGGAGAACACAAACACAGACAGAGGCTCCGTCCCAAATGGCACACTATTCTCTCTATATAGTGTACTACTTTGAAACCAGAGCGAGCGGCACTACATTGGGAATAGGGTGCCATTTTGGACGCCATGTGAGACACTAAATCAAATCCTCAGGGTTCCTGACTGTGTCTGCTAGACCGGCTCAGCGCGGGAGAGGGAGGGAGGGAGGGGGAGAGAGAGAGAGAGCAAGAGAGCGATAGAGAGCGAGACCGAGAGAGAGAGAGAGAGAGCAAGAAACACAGAGAGAGGACACATATCATTTTATCATCAACTCAGGAAGAACAACTAGAGGCTGCGTCACTCTGCCCTTCTTCTTCTTCCTCCTCCTCCTCCTCCTCCTCCTCCTCCTCTCTGCTCTACTCAACATAGTCCTGGGGTGTGTGGGGTGTTTGTTTTACTCATTTGTCCCCCCCCCCCTCTATTCTCCACTATATAGTGAGGTCATGCATTCTGTAAAGGAGCATTTCATGCTTTCGGTTCTCCTTTCACTCTTTCGTTCAGGTTTTTTCATTCCCTCCCTCTTTTCTCCATTCTCTCAGTCAATACTTACACTGCCAGTTATCTTTCCCTCTGAGAAGTCTGTTCTGAATCTCTGCAGAGAGAAAGAGAGATCAGATTAAACATGTATCCACTGTTACCTGGGCCCGTATTCATAATACTTCTCAGTGCTGAATTTAGACCTGTTTTGTCTACTACACCATAATGAAGAACACTACGTGATACAGGGGGGCTGATCCTAGATCAGCACTATTACTGTATCTGGTCTAATTCTTATGGAAAATATCAAACTCATTAGAGAGTCTCTTACACCTCTTCAGAATAAATGATTTCATGATATCAACACATTTTGTTTTCTGCGTGGTGTGTGAGAACCAGCTGTGTCAAGGGACCTGTAACTTGCGAGCGCTAGAAACTTAAGCAATTTTTTTTGACAATGAGTGTTTTTGCAGCAATTCTTTTTCGCCTTCCCTGCAATTTAGATCTGTCCTTGTGTGTGTGCGTGCATTCTTGATAACTTCATGCCGTTTAATGTATGTGATGGTGTTTATAAAGCAACCTACAGTCGGCCACTGTTGCTAATGTGTTGTGAGTGTTCTCATGCAAAAAGAATGGCTGATGCTATTTTTTTACATTTTAGTCATTTAGCAGACGCTCTTATCCAGAGCGACTTACAGTTAGTGAGTGCATACATTATTTTTTCATACTGGCCCCCCGTGGGAATCGAACCCACAACCCTGGCGTTGCAAGCGCCATGCTCTACCAACTGAGCTACATCCCTGCCGGCCATTCCCTCCCCTACGCTGGACGACACTGGGCCAATTGTGCTGGTGGTGGGAGTAGGTGATTAAAGGGGCAATCTGGGATTCAAACAATGACAAAGCAGTTATCCCAGGTAGCCTAGCGGTTAAGAGCGTTGGGCCAGTAACAAAAAGGTTGCTGGTTTGAATCCCGGAGCTGACTAGGTGAAACATCTGTCGATGTGTCCTTGAGCAAGGCACTTAACCCTAATTACGCCTGTAAATTGCTCTGGATAAGAGCGTCTGCTAAACGAGTAAAATGTGAAATGTAATCCCACCACTTTTTTGGGTAAACAGCTGAGGGGTGGGGCTTCAGAAATCTAACCACTCAAATGTATAGATGGGGCTATGGACTGAAATTATACATTGTTTACAATGATATGGTTTACAAACAATCGGCTAAAACAAGCTTATATTTTGGGTCCTGATGAGCTAAGGCATCTGAACTAAGCTCCTGTGGTATTTACAAGTTATATTCTTCCAGAACCAATTGTGTGTTCTCTCACCAGTGCCTCTGTGAGCAGCTCTGTCCGGTGCTCTGTGGAGAACTTGAGCGTTTCCGACTTCTTGCCGCTGCCCTTGCGGAATGTAAGGTTGAACTCGGTGCCCTGGCCCTTGCCCACCGGGGTGATGCCGCAGATGTCCCCATACGGCCACTGCAAGGCACCACAGAGAGGACAGAGAAAGAGAGAGAGAGACAAACATGTCACTAAGGGATGTCACATTCACTAAAGCTAAAAATGACAGATCATACAGTCGTGGTCAAAAGTTTCGAGAATGACGCAAGTATTGGTCTTCACAAAGTTCGCTGCTTCAGTGTTATGAGATATTTTTGTCAGATGTTACTATGGTATACCGAAGTATAATTACAAGCATTCCATAAGTGTCAAAGGCTTTTATTGACAATTACAAGAAGTCTATGCAAAGAGTCAATATTTGCAGTGTTGACCCTTCTTTTTCAAGACCTCTGCAATCCGCCCTGGCATGCTGTCAATTAACTTCTGGGCCACATTCTGACTGATGGCAGCCCATTCTTGCATAATCAATGCTTGAAGTTTGTCAGAATTTGTGGGGTTTTGTTTGTCCACCTGCCTCTTGAGGATTGACCACAAGTTCTCAATGGGATTAAGGTCTGGGGAGTTTCCTGGCCATGGACCCAAAATGTTGATGTTTTGTTCCCCGAGCCACTTAGTTATCACTTTTGCCTTATGGCAAGGTGCTCCATCATGCTGGAAAAGGCATTGTTCATCACCAAACTGTTCTTGGATGGTTGGGAGAAGTTGCTCTCGGAGGATGTGTTGGTACCATTCTTTATTCATGGCTGTGTTCTTAGGCAAAATTGTGAGTGAGCCCACTCCCTTGGCTGAGAAGCAACCCCACACATGAATGGTCTCAGGATGCTTTACTGTTGGCATGACACAGGACTGATGGTAGCGCCCACCTTGTCATCTCCGGACAAGGTGTTTTCCGGATGCCCCAAACAATCGTAAAGGGGATTCATCAGAGAAAATGACTTTACCCCAGTCCTCAGCAGTCCAATCCCTCTACCTTTTGCAGAATATCAGTCTGTCCCTTATGTTTTTCCTGGAGAGAAGTGGCTTCTTTGCTGCCCTTCTTGACACCAGGCCATCCTCCAAAAGTCTTCGCCTCACTGTGCGTGCCGTTGCACTCACACCTGCCTGCTGCCATTCCTGAGCAAGCTCTGCACTGGTGGTGCCCCAATCCCGCAGCTGAATCAACTTTAGGAGACGGTCCTGGCGCTTGCTGGACTTTCTTGGGCGCCCTGACGCCTTCTTCACAACAATTGAACCTCTCTCCTTTAAGTTCTTGATGATCCGATAAAATGGTTGATTTAGGTGCAATCTTACTAGCAGCAATATCCTTTTTGTGCAAAGCAATAATAACGGCACGTGTTTCCTTGCAGGTAACCATGGTTGACAGAGGAAGAACAATGATTTCAAGCACCACCCTCCTTTTAAAAGTTCCAGTCTGTTATTCTAACTCAATCAGCATGACAGAGTGATCTCCAGCCTTGTCCTCGTCAACACTCTCACCTGTGTTAACGAGAGAATCACTGACATGATGGCAGCTGGTCCTTTTGTGGCAGGGCTGAAATGCAGTGGAAATATTTTGGGGGAATTAAGTTCATTTACATGGCAAAGAGGGACTTTGCAATTAATTGCAATTCATCTGATCACTCTTCATGACATTCTGGAGTATATGCAAATTGCCATCATCAAAACTGAGGCAGCAGACTTTGTGAAAATTAGTATTTGTGTCATTCTCAAAACTTTTGACCACGACTGTAGATTAGCATCCAAATGGTGACAAAGGCTATATTGATCACAAGGATAATTTCACATGACTCAGACATAGAGACATCATTAAGGGTTTTAAAATGAGCCCACTGACCTGGTTTGTGACTTCGAGCGTGGCGGGGTTGTACGTGGTAATGCCATGAGTGCCCACAGAGAAGACTCGTTTGTACCTGGAACAGAGAAGAGAGCTCAGTCAGTCAGACACCTACCTACACAACATCTGTTATACAAGAACCTACAGGACATTGAGGGTCCTGGATGGTAGCCTAGCGGTTAAGAGGTTGGGCCAGTAACAGAAAGGTTGCTGGTTCGAATCCCCGAGCTGACTAGGTGAAATCTGTCAATGTGCCCTTTAGCAAGGCTCTAAACCCTAATTGCTCCTGTAAGTCGCTCTGGATAAAAGTGTCTGCTAAAGGAATTGTTTTTTTGTTTTGTTTTTATAACATTGAGGTAAGGCATGGACACATCGGTAGCATTTGCTGGCCAAGAGTACCTAGCACCTCTGAACACAGTGCCAGACATACAGTGAGATCCAAAAGTATTGGAACAGTGACACATTTATTGTTGTTTTGGCTCTGTACTCCAGCTCTTTGAAATGATACAACGACTATGGGAGGTTAAAGTGCAAACTGTCAGCTTTAATTTGAGGGTATCCATATCGGGTGAACCGTTTAGAAATTACAGCACTTTTTGTACATAGTTCCCCATGTTAGGGGACCAAAAGTATTGGGATGTGCTTTAAAGTAGTAAAAAGTTAGGTATTTGGTCTCATATTCATAGCACACAATGAATACATCAAGATTGTGACTCCACACATTTGTTGGATGCATTTGCTGTTTGTTTTACAATAAAAGTGACTCCAAAATTACACAATACATTATTTACCATTCATTTCTATTGGGCACAAAATAATCTGAAACACAACCAAAACAAACAGCAAATGCATCCAACAAATGTGTAGTGTCACAAGCTTGATGTAGCCTAGTCATTGCGTGCTATGAATATGGGACCAAATACACATAAGTGAATGTCCCAATACTTTTGGTCCCCTAAAATGGGGGGACTATGTACAAAAAGTGCTGTCTAAACTGTTCACCCGATATGGATGAAAATACCCTCAAATTAAAGCTGACAGTCTAAACTTTAACCCCATATTCATTCTAGAGCCAAAACAAAAAAATGCACTGTCCCAATACTTTGAGCTCACTGTAATTTGCTAACCGAGTGCAAACCCATGTAGAAACAGCAGAAAATGTTAGCAGTCAGACGCCTACCAGCGGGTGGTCCCTAAAACAAACTGCGCCGAACCAACTCCGAACGAATGGCAGATAACGACAGACCGTCATTCAGTGCGATGCGTTTTCTCCTGTGGGGCTGCGTCCCAAAATGGCAATCTATTCCCTACATAGTGCCCTACTTTTGACCAGAGCCCTATGTGACCTAGTCAAAAGTAGTGCACTATAAAGGGAATAGGGTGCCATTTGCAACTTAGGGTAGCTGAACATTCAGTAAAAGAAAGAGTGTGTGGACTGGAGTACTGCAGTGAGGGTGGTGGACCTGAATGGCTTTGCTGCTGTAGCCTAAGTGGTGGCATTTCTGAAGTGACAAAGGTTATCCTAGCATTGGCTAGGCTGGTGAATTCCATTAGCATTGATGAATTGATACAAAAAAATGGTTCCCCATCAGTCAATGCTCCCGAAATACCTCAGGAGCTGGAAATAACCATTGCAGAAATAAAAACCTATTATGTCTGAGGAGTTCGACACTGGACAGAGTGAGATGAATGGACCAGAGAACTTGTATGTGCATCTCAAATGTCTCCTATTCCTTTTAGTGCAGCACTATAAAAGGAATAGAAGATATTTATCCAGTCGTTTATACAGCACCAATACGGAGCGGAACTCTAACTGCTACCGTTTTGTCACTGGAACTGAATAATAAGTGGGGTTTAACTAGCGAGTAGCTTGCTGACACTGAGGGAGAGGACGGTTGAGTTAATATACAAGCCAACAGTGAAGCGTGCTCGAAATCTGTGAGAAATGTTACCGCCAGCCACATTCAAAGGGAGTCGAAAAGGGCAGCCACTGTAAAGCGTTGACTGTGTGTATATAAGCGTGCGTGTCGGGTAGGGGGGGGGTCTGATGATCTTGCAGCCCAGTGTACCCCGCCCTAGCTACCTCAGAGCGGCTGAAGACTTTCCGCTAGACTTTCCCTTGATCGCTCTCCTCCACATCAGACCGCCACACTCAGACAAAGAGGGGGAGACTGGGCTAGCTGGGCACGTTGCCACTCACACAACTGACTTCCGTTACCACGAGGAGCCAAAGGCTGAAAATAAGTGTGATACTGAGGCCCAAATGGCACCCTATCCCCTATATACTTCTGACCACAGCCCTATGGACCCTGGTAAGAAGTAGTGCACTATAAAGAGAATAGGGCGTTATTTGAGAAGCTGCCCTAGTATCAAGCCCCAACAAGGCCTCTAAGCAAAACCTAGGATGTGCACCCTAACCTAAATGCTACAGCTCTTGGGCACCGAAACTGAACGAAGAAGAGCAGAGAGCTCTGAACTGAAATTCTATAGCAACATCCTGTTCACAACTTTGCATCTGAACATGTATAAAACTAAACCAGGCTGAAGTCAGGTGCCAGGCTCAGATGTTGCTATGCTAACCCCCAAAGGACTTATTTCCTGGGTTGTTCAATTGGATGAAGTGAATTGGTGGTATTGTTGGTATTGTTTTCGGCCACCTTCCACCATGCTGCTAACCATGCTGTGGTCACGCTGATGCCTTTAAATGTGCTGAATGTGTGATTGGCAATAAGGCAACAGATTCAATGGAAGCTGACTGACTTGACAGATGATGGGAATGGGAAGATTGACTCAACACAGGAAGGGTGGACCGGCTTTACGACGACATTCATGCAACGTTCCTTGTTCTGCGTATCAAAATGACTACGATCACGTAGGCCCTACATTTTCAAAGACTTATATTAGGCTATATTGTCACCTTCTAATCTCTACCCACACACATTTATCAACATTTAGGCCTTGGCATATTCTCATGAGAAGAGTGTGTCACACTTGAAGACCTTGGCTTCACAGAGTTGTCTAATCAATAGGTGAAGGGAGAGAGTGTGAGTGAGGGCAGTGTTTGTGAGCTGAAAGGAGCACTTTCAGCACCTCCCAATCACTGTTCTCCTCAACACAAAACATTCTGGCGCACACAAGCACACAGACAGATCTTCACTACGTTCAGACAAACAGAAAGTGGCTTAAATAGACAATCACAGTCATTGGCCATTCATTCCAATACACCTTGAAAGATCTTTGATTCACGCCTGAGTGTGTCCAGATATCAGTGATAGAAATACAGAGGTAGATGGGACATTGAGAGTAATCAGTCTCTCTGGATCCAGAGCCTAGCTCCCTCTCCTCCTCCATCCTTATGCAAACACATCGTTTCCCTTTCATCCTACCCTGAGCCAACCACCCTCCCTCCCTCGCTCCTCTAAGTGCAGGGCCCCTGCTCTGCTCCGAGGGCACCCCCCTACATGGAGCCTTTGTCCTTGCTGCTCAGTGCTCAGTGGCTGGGCATGGCCTAGTCACACGACTGGTTAATTATTCATCCTCTGTGAGCAGTACTCTCCAGGCAGACACAGGCCCTCACCCAGCCCAGTCTAAGCGTGGAACAGCCCAGCCTAGCACACATACTGTAGTAGCTAGGGACCTGAGTTTTTCCTGACCATGTGACCTGACCAGGACATACTCTGGGTACCGGTTATAGACTAACTAGGGCCCTGAGTTGTTTTCCTGGGCAGGTCACATGGTCAGGAAAAACTCTACATAGCCATAGCCTACATGGGTCAGAGGTTATGTAAAGTAGAGGGCAGGGCAGGCTATGCTGCTCCTCACAATGACAGGCATCATTCAGGCATTTCCTCCATGACCTCAAAGAGTGCTTTACATCATCATAAAGGCACTGCTATCAAATTTCATACGAGTGTTACTGGAAGCAGTGGAACATTTAATTGGCAGTGGGTGATTTCCATGTAAAAGGACCCATGAGCACCAACATGTGAAGTTCATAGGAGCATATCAAATTGGGTGTCAAATGAAAGCACACACACACACACACACACACACACTTATTTTTTTTTTTTTTTAAACCATTTTATTAGGAATAAGCAAAGGCTGATTTCTGGTCATACAGAAAAGGGGTCTTAGAAAACATCTACCAGAAAATGTATATTAGAAATACATCAAAACACAATAATGTTAAAGTAAAGACCCCTGCCAACTAATATCAACACTTATATTTAGTTTGAGAAATGTTCTGCCTTCTGTAAGTTTAAGAAACATTGCCATGCGTCTTGAAATTCTGTTACCAAAAACCCACATATCTTTAAGATATTTTCAAATTTCTCAGAAGTAACAAGTAAAGGTGAACCTATCAATGTTAGTGTTTTTACTGATAATAACTCATAAACAAAATTGGTAAGTGATTATACCTCGAAATTCCGTTACCAAATCGGTAATGGAAATTCTGAAATATCGGTAACGGAATTTCTGCAATTGAATTGGCTACAATGGGAAATCACAGTAGTCACAAACCACAGTTGGGTTCATAAGTTTGGACAGCACAGTACACAGTACAGCACAGTACAGTAAATAAAAGTAGAGTATAGATCAGTACAGTACAGTAAAGAAAAGTAAAGTATTGTTCAGTAGAGTACAGTAGAGTTGAGTTCTGTACAGTAAAGAAAAGTAGAATACTGTACAGTAGAGTTCAGTACAGTACACAGTAGAGCACACTAGAGTTGAGTACACTAATGTACTGTACTGAACTCTACTGTGCGTTCCAAACTTGTGAAACAGACATCTATGACTGATTCAGATTTGGTTCGGACCAACCAAATTTGGTCTTGTTTGGTGGAGGAGCTCATTAAAATAATAGCCAGTGTGTAGAATAATACCCAAATATACAAAAGGAGAATATTCCATATTTCTACCTTTGTGTACCTATTCAGGATACATCACCATGAAGACAATGACGTTCATATCCATAATGATGCATTTCTGTGTAGTACAGATCAGGGGCACATGATGAAATTCCGTTTCCACAATTCTGTTACCCGGGGTATATCCACTTCACTTACTGTAGTTCAAAA